CTTCGTTCATCTTCGGAACACAAATTAAGATATTTTTGATCAAATTTGAGAGGTGGATCACTGGTGTTACCAGCCTAAGTGCTAGGCAGACGAATATTTCCTGTGATATTGAGACCCTTGAGATGAGCCACTACAAAAGTCCAGTGTCGTTCATCATCCCATCTGTCAGAGTTCTGAAGAAGCTGCTCAGCAGCCAAGGCCCACGTCTCATGGGATTGAAACAATGAAACAAGGGTTGTTGGAGAGTCTCAACCATCGGGTTGCAAAAGTGGAGGTGAAATATGTGGGCCTTGCCTGGTTTCTGGATTTAAGATACAAATCACTAGTGTGCAGCATCCACTTGGGTGAGGCAGGCACTGCTCAGCCACAACACACCAGCTATAGGTGGAGAGAGGAGAGAGATTGATAGAACCAGTTCAGAGGATGGGGATTATTAGGAGGCCATGATTGGCAAGGGCCAATGGAGGGGATGTGGCCAAGACACAGGGGTTTACATCCCTACTCTTTACAAGAAGTGCCATGGGATTTTTAGTGACCACAGATACCTCGTTTCCACCCAAAAATAACTGAACTGGTGCTGGTTTAAAGTTGGTTCAACTTGCGAATCTTCTCAGAACTTGTTTGTTTTTCCATTGACTAGAGAGCCCAGCAAACAACATCAGTACGTCTGTATACTACTGTGCACGTCGCCATACATCTTAGCCCAATGTAAGCATGAAGTAAGGGGTGGTGATGGCGCAGTGGATAAGACACATGCCTTTGGTGTGAGAGACCCAGGTACGAATCCACTGTGAGACGCAAATGTGTCTGAGCAAGACCCCTAGTTGCTCCAGAGGCGTGCAACCTCTGACAAATATAGCAATTGTAAGTCGCTTTGGATAAAAGCGTCAGCTAAATGAATAAATGTAAATGTCGTAAAAGAGTTGGTGTCACTTTGGAACAAATTTCCAGGCTGAGAACCGGTTCTTTGGTTGTTGAAACACAAAGAGCTGTTTGTCAGAAAAGAGACACAGTCATTTGATTGCAGTACCCTTTCAAAAAAGCCCCAGGCAGAAGACTGACTGATGATATGTGGGACACTTTAATTGCTAGCTCTGAAGTTGCTGGTTTTAACCTTGAAGGAGGGCTTCAGCAGCGCCTCCTGGAACCGGTAGTTGATGGATAGATGGACAAGCTACTTGAACGGTGGAAACAAAATGAGAAAAAAAGATGAAGACACTGAGAAAATGGAAAGTGACAGTGAAGAAAGAGAAGGCATGGCTAGTGAGGAGAAACAGGGACATGTGACAATACCAGTCAGCCACCAGCCAGTCGATTGAATAGTTTTAAAAAAAATATATATATATAAAAAGACCAGAAAAAAAATCACTAAGAAAGCAAAGGCAGCAAGAAAATATGGAAAATGCAGCTCTTAAGAAGAAAATTGAGGAAGAAAATTGTAAATTGGGGACACAATATAACTTTTTCAACAGACCAAATGAAGGCATAGGGCAGACTTATTAGGGCATTGGAGCAAAGGCACAGTTAAGAAGGTGTTACAATTTCAGGAATCCGAACCCTGCAAAGAAAGATGGTATTTGATTTCCTAAAATTAAAGGTAGATGGATTAACAGACCTTGAAAGGAAGTGGGCATTGTCCTTGGATGAAATGTCAATCATTCATGTGTGGAGTTGCACATGCTCACAGTCACATACAAATGATGTCTGGTCACAAAATTAAGTTTGGTCTTGCTCCCAGTGTATTCAGAAAGGCAGCAAGTGCTGGGTTAAAACACATGGTGCCACAAGAAAACTGTCATGAAACTGCACATGGAACATGGACAGAGGTGATCCAAACGCAGGCTTATTAAAGAGGAGAATCCAGAGACCGGTACAAGGAAACAGGCAGGGGTCAAAACCAGGTAAGCAGTCCAGATCAGCGATCAAACAATGCAGGGATTAGACAAACGGGAAGACCAGATACAGGCAGAGAGTCCAGGAAACTAGGAAATACTAGGAAAACACTCGAAGCAGTCAGACACTATACACAATACTGAGCACCGAACAAAGGGGAAACTCGGGCTTAAGACAGGTGCACTAAACAAGATAATAAAACACAGGTGCATGAAATAAACCATAATCAGTCCAGGGTAAAACATGAATGAAACAATAAACTAGGAAGGAGTGCCCCCCAGAGGCTCAAGCGGGCACTCCAGCCGCAGATCGTCACATACTGTAACCCCCCCTCTAAAGAGCGGCTTCCAGACGCGCCTAGAACGATCCAGGCGGGGGGCAGAGTGAAGGTGATCCCGGGGGAGGGACGGAGGGCCAGGCCCGTGCAGGGGAACGGGACCAGGACACAGGCAAGGCGGGCCTGGGCCGTGGAGCGTGGGTGACCAGGTTGGAGCAGGACGTGATGGTGGCCAGGGCGGAGCAGGACGTGATGGCGCCCAGGGCGGAGCAGGCTCAGGCAGAGACGAGGGCGGAGCAGACTCAGGTGCAGTCCATGTCAGTGTCGCCTCCATGGCCCCCGCAGAGTACCTAGTGCCCCTCCCAAAAAAATACTTGGGAAAATTCACGGGAGGAACCTCTGGGTGGTAAACGGGTTCAGGAAAGGTCTCCTGTCCTACCTGACTACAGTGTGTTCATGGGGAAAGTTGATAATTCAACATGACATCATGACTTTTGCATAAACATACACACCACTTTCAAGTCAAGTGGCGTGTTATCTATACGCATTTTGAGCTATCCGTATGTCTACGCCGTTAAATGTCCGAATGATTCCGCGTGTATGTACACGCCGTTAAATGTCCGAGCGAAAAGAAGCCAAATGTAGATCTACATCTGGGGAGCGATGTTTTTTTTCCTAGGATGGTAGGGGAAGACTCATAAATGGTATTAACCCCAGTGACGGGTAGGTTTAGGGACGGGATTGGGGTAGGTCATATATTTATATATACAGTAATGTAACGTTAAGTCAACGGCGTTCATAAACACACTGAAAAGCGATTATGCGTGTTGATATGGATGGAAATGGTTGAAATGGAAATACGAATTGGCGTGTCATACATACGCCATTTCATGAGATCAGTCTGGATAATTGGTTCGATCTGATTGTCATCTTCCCATGCAATTGACCCTTTGCTGGGAGTTTGATCGACAGGCGATCAGACCAATCATAATCCGCCATCCGCCGAATTCGCCATTTTTGTCCGACAAAGCACTCAGGAGAGTTTACTTAGTAGATTAACATAGGATTTGAACTTGAAAAGCATGTTCATTCATGTTTATTTGATGCTATACGTTAACTAGAAGGAAGAGATGTTCAGTTCGCGAGCAGCTTTAACTGAGGCTCTACAGCGCTACAGCCAGAAAATGGAATTTATTGTTTCAATTTCTTTAAAAAAATGACCAAATTTGGCAGTGTTCTCTCTGCTCCGTGCTCCGGTATATTCCACTGAGTGAGAACATTGTGGGGGGTGAGAGAGGCGTGGGTTGTCGGACATAGCAACAGTAGTTAAAGAAACCCGCTAACAGCTACAAAGGCCGAATCCATTGGAAACAGTCGGAGTAACCATTGTCCCAACACCCAGCCATCACCAATCCTGCTAGCACAGTTAACATCGCTGACCATGAACATCATCGTCCCTGACCAGTGCCGTCAGTGATCCCCACCTTGCAGTATGATTCCTTAACTTACTATTTGTAATATATATTCAGTGTCACGTTTGGCTATGTATCAGATTTAGGTTTTCATGTCACAGTTATGTTCCTGGTTTTGTCATGTGATTTTCTGATTTCATCATGTGATACTGTAACGTACCCCTTTTGTGTTATGTTATGTCTCTTTGCATCGTTTGTCAAGCCTGTTCTGTTCATAGTTATGCCATGTTTTAGTTTGGTTTGTATTGTGTTTCAATAAACTGCACATCATGGGTTCGCATTAAACTTATACCTTCAGTGAAGTAGTGTTAGTGAAGCTGTCATAAAGCCAAAACAATCTCTGTTGCTTTTACTGTTATCACTGTAAAGATGACTTGACTTGTTACTTTCAGTCATATAATCGTTATATAGAATGGCAGTATGGTACACATTTAACATGATTCCTTATTGCTGGCTCCTCAAAACTCAAGACCTGCATTATTGCTGATGCTCCATTACATACGGTAGCAGTCCTGGGGGTATTCCAGAAATTAGGTTATGTGACATACATACCTGACTTAGTTAAGGTTAAGTAAGTCGATAACCGTAACTATCGGATCCAAAAACGGAGGTAAATATCAGGGTATGTACGTAGCCACAGCAAATTGCTCTCTGAACATAACACAACTGCTCTCTGCAGGGCCTGTAGGGCCAGAGAAAGATTCCTATAGGGGATGAGGTGAGGTCTGGGAGAATTTGGCTCGCAGGAACCTAACGTCAGGTCATGCTTTCCCAGGGACCTGTCACCCACCGCGTTGTGGTCAGATTGCGCCAGCCTCTGAGAGAGAATGTCCTTCTTCAGGGGAATCTGCCATCAGTGTGAGGACCGGTTGGGCCAGTATGGTGCGACCATTAGGACTTGTATTAAAAACTTTTAGTATTAATTATTAAAATATTCTAAAACATTTCAGGAAATAAAGAGATGGAAAAAAGAATGGTAAACGTCATAGGTCTATTGTTATTATAAACTTAAAGTAATCATTTGAAGTATTTGCAAATATATTAATATGCACACATCCACTCTTTATCGTACATGTCTCTTAATTTATTGTCTTGTTGCTATTCATATTTGGGCTAGTTTGGGCTATTTTGTTAGGTCTTTTTGATTAGCTATTTTTGATCGTGGTGGTTCTGTTACACTGACTGACCTGGCAACCCTTGGTGTCACTGCATCTACAACAGAAGGACTTTGAAATACTTGTGCTCCAGTACCTCTTCATGCAGCAGAAATATGTTGCATTGCGTTGCATCCTTTTCACAGTCTAGGTTGCATCCCCCTCTCGACTCTATCTCTTATTTGTGCGCCATTACTCCAGTCCTCCAGGAGTCGCAGATCATCACCGAGAGTGCGTGCGAGGAAGAGGCAGGCAGGAAGAGGGAGACGCAGCACTGGAGCACCGCGTTGAGCTGCTGGACATAATCAAACATGTCAATATTTACACCTACAAACCAGATCAGGCTAACAAATGTTGCCATCGTCAGGATGAAGAAAGGAGGGAAACGATTTGAAATAGCCTGTTATAAAAACAAAGTGATGAGCTGGAGATCTGGAGCGTGAGTCTGTTATGAAAAACTCATACGATTTTTTTTTTTATATTGTGTTTATTTTGTGATTATAGCTATTATAACAGTGTTTAAGTCTTACATTACTGATATATCAATATTGTAAAGACTTGTATTGCGTACTTTTGATTGTTTTTGTATAGATAGATAGATAGATAGATAGATAGATAGAAATAGCTTTTAAAGAGTGCTCACACTATGGTACCAACAGTACCAACACTTACTAACTAGCGCCAGTTGGTTTACATGTTTTTTTCCAGTCTGTTTCACGGGTTCTCGCAGTACTCTGCAGTGCGCAGCACGCGCTTATCGTGTTTTCAGAAATGACGCATTTGCAGTGCGCGGCTGTTTACTACAAACACAACATTCATTCTTTATTTTTATTTCAAATCCAAACGTGTCTTTTTCACTGTACATTTATACAATCTTTCATATACATATTTACTTTTAAAGAAGGACACCAGGTGTGTTTAAAAACAATAACTAATAGATGCAAGTTACCATACGTTCCCAAGTTGATCTTTGCTTACATGAAGTATTGCACATTTTTATTTTATTTTTATATTACAAGTTTTATGAAATTTTATGTTTAAATATGCACTATTTTGCTACATTTATTGAACAAAAATCTGAACATTCGAACATCCCACAGGTTAAAAAAGTATTACTTTTTTTAGGGCTGTCAAATGATTAATCGCGTCCAAAATAAAAGTTTGTGTTTACAGAATATGGGTGCACTGTGTATAATTATTATATATATATATATATATATATATATATATATATATAAAATACACAAACATGTTTGTATATATTTAAGAAATATTTTCATGTATATACTGTATATAGATTTAAATATAATTTATATTATATATATAAATAATATTTTTTTCTTAAATACCGGTATACATGCATGTGTGTGTGTGTGTGTGTATATATATATATATATATATATATATATATATATATATAATAATTATACACAGTGCACCAACATATATTATGCAAACACAAACTCTTATTTCTAAAAGGGTTTTACAGAAGATATTTTGGACATCACTTTGCATCACTCCAAAATCTGAAAATAATGCCAACAACCAGAAAAAAAAAAGAATTGAAATTGTTTTAGTAATAAAACGTTTATATCAAATTATATATGAACTAACGCCTTTTGTAAAATACGGCTTCAGAATATAGACAGCAATAAAACTGTAATTGTAATTAATTGTAAAATTGTTATAGAATTGTAAAAAAACTAAAAATCAAATACAGAAATATAATTACAATACAGTAGAATAAAAAACTTAGTAATAATTATGTCCTGAATTCTTCACTGGCAAATGTTAAACCCTCAAGCTGTATGGGTTTTTTTTTTGTTTTGTAAGTGTAAGTGAACAGTTTTTTTCTGGTTTGTAAGTGTAAGTGAACACAGCAGGCGCATTACATTACAAACAGCCTTTTTCTATTTGAAAAGCTATATAGTAATATATATTTGTTTTATTTTAATGACTACTTATGATGCAGTTAATTGATAGCAGTTTTATCAACCCACAAACTCCCAGTTGGGAAACGCGATTTGTAACGTTATTTGATGGAATTTCATGATCACTCATGACATTAATGTAATGCACAAATCAACTGTGCCTCCAGGGAGAAAGACCTCGATGAAGTCCTGCAGACAAACACAGTGTTTGTGAATGTGTCTAAGGGTCAAGTGGCGAAGAAAGAGGACCTGTCAAATGCTTTCGGCACAGATGACTTGACAGAAATATGCAAACAGGTGAATCAGAAGACGATTGTTTTTATCGTTATAATCAGTTGACACGTTTTCTACGAATCCTTAACTGTTTCTACATAAATGGCTTTTATTTTCAGATTTTATCCAAAGGAGAACTGCAGGTGTCAGATCGGGAGCGGCAGAGTCAGCTGGAACAGATGTTTCGTGATATTGCAACTATTGTGGCAGAAAAATGTGTGAATCCTGAGACCAAACGGCCCTACACAGTCAGCCTCATAGAGAGAGCGATGAAGGACATCCACTTCTCCGTCAAGGCGAACAAAAGCACTAAACAGCAGGTCAGTAGACCTTGATCATGTGACGATCTGTGAACTGATCATTGAAGAGGCCACTAACATCAAATCATGCTTGTTTGTGACGTTTGACGGCAGGGCTTGACATTAACTTTTACTCACCAGCTTTCCAAAGTTACTAACCACTCAGCATTCATGAGGATGACCTGACTTGACTTAAAACCCATTTTCAAAAGTTTGCGTTTTTCAGGCCCCCAAAATGCCGTTTCTGTGTAGATGAACGGCCAAAATACTTAAAAAGTTTTAAATGTTGAGACATTGATGATGCTGAAGGTCAGTGCCGCCCCCTCCCCAGGCTCTCGAGGTCATCAAGCAGCTGAAGGAGTCCATTCAGATCCAGAGAGCTCACATGCGGCTGCGCTTCGTCCTGCCAGCCAAGGACGGGAAGAGACTGAAAGAAAAGCTCAGACCCTTAATAAAGGCAGTGGAGGAAGAGGACTTCCATGATCAGCTGGAAATGGTACGAGTCTTTCGTTCATTACGCTTTATATACTGGATGTCAAGGACGTAAACCGATATCATTGGTCTATAAACGAGGGATATGCCAGCATGATCAATTAATAGACTGGTTATCCAACAACAGACTAGTTGAAAAGTGAGTTTAGTGAGTGAGTTTAATATGTTTAGCAGTGGTGCGTTAAATGAAATGTAATTTTGAAATAACAGAAATGTGATTTTTAGAGTCAATGTAGTATTTTTCTGCAGTCTGTTCTCTCTTTTTAAGATGTGCTAGTGTACTTGCTTCCGGCTGTCAGTCAGAACAAGTGTCAGGCTTTTATAAAATGGCTTAAGTAAAAAACAAGCATATCACGACAAAGAGACCAAAACTACCAATGCCGGGAACATTTCACTGTTCTCTGTACCAATTCTAATACATTAGCAAAAACTCTGGGAATAGTTCATCATTAACTATTTTAAAATAAATAAAAAATTAAATTAAATGCAACACTTTACTATGAGGTTTCATTTGTTAAAATTAGGTTGCTACTTTAGTTTTGAATTAACAATAAACAAAACTTCTCCAGTATTTATTAATGTTAGTTAAGGGTAATTTCAACATTTACTAAAACATTAAAATTTAAAGTTGTATTTGTTAACGTTAAGTAACACAATGTGAACTAACATGAATGACTTTTTTTATTAACTAACAATAATAAAGAAAAGATGAATAAATACTGTAACAAATGTTAGTTAATACATTAACTAATGTTAACTAATGAACCTTATTGCACCGATAAAATGCTAACAGTCGTTCAGATTATTTTGTTATAATTTGTCATTTATCGTAAGTTTGGATTAATTTGTGCATTTAAATAGATGTAAATCCAGTAAATGTTCAGTGTACTGAACCGTAAATTGCGTATGAGAAGGACAGAGGACGTGGCCGTCACGACCTCAACAACTACACACTTCACTTTCCTTTAAATTTGTCCATTCCCCACAATTATATGTGAATTAATGTGAGGACTGTTTGTGCTACAATGGAAATGAAGACAGAGTTGGCAGATTTACTGTGGCGTCTAAATATCACATTTTGTTGCCAGCTATTTTGACAATAATGGCTGTATTTTTTAGTTATTTTCAGAGGACATTAAGTGTATATACTGCTATACAAGCAGCACATTGTCTACTCTAAATCAATATATCCAAGTTTAATTTCTGTAGTATTGTCCTATGAGAAGATATACTAAAATATTTGCTGAAATGTGAGGGTTGGACTCACTTTTGTGAGATACTATAGAGGGTATGCGTGTGACGTCACCGTCGGCCTGCAGTTCCTCACAGTGAGTGGCAAAAAGACTGAGCGGCTGAATATGTATTCAGTGTCAATGCCCCGAAAAACAAACACAACACATATAAAGTGGGAAAGAGCTTTGCGATTGACTTTACAACTAGATTTGACAAAAAATCAGAGGTATATTTTCACAGACTCCTATAGAAAGAGGAGCAAATGGATCGCTGCAATTCACAGAAACAACTGGACTCCAGTCAGCGAAAGGTGGACTTGTGTCAATATCTTTTCTGAATTTAGCTGTAAAACCATACCCATATATTTTGAATTGTTCAATTAAAAAAAACTCATCAATTAAATATTTATCATTGCATATTCTGCATTATTGGATGTTTTTTAATAAACACTGGCCAAAAAAAAAACAAACTATAAAGTTTTATGGCTGCTCACGCGGCATATCTTTTGCCACTCAGTCAGGCTGAGGTGGGTTGTTCCGGCGGGAAAGTGACGTCAATGCATTCCCTCGCTCTCTCGCTCTCTCTCTCTATATATATATATATATATATATACTGGTATGTGTAATTATGGCATTGTATATTTTCCCCTTTTGTCTGAGCTAAGGTAACTGTGTGTCCTGCCTCCAGGTGTGTCTGATAGATCCAGGCTGCTTCCGTGAGATCGATGAGCTGATCCGCTGTGAGACTAAAGGAAAGGGAACGCTGGAGGTCCTCAGTCTCAAAGATGTGGAGGAAGGAGACGAGAAACTAGAATAACCTCTTCATCTTCACCTGCTTCAACACATTAAACTATTGCCCATTCATTTAACACACAGAGCCTTTTTAATTGAGTTCTCTTTTGCAACTGAAACAGGCTTTATTAACAATTCTAAATTGGTGAATATTTAAAATTATGTTCCCAAAAAGACAACATTTAGCATGTTTGCAATAATTTATTTTCTGTGAAAATTTGAATTGTTATATTAATAAGAGAAATTTTAATAATATACAATAAAGCATTGTCACCTAGTGCTTGTGTTATCATTTTAATGTGCTCATTTGGTGCCAGAGAATATAGTTCTTATAGTTTATTAGTTAGCTGGTTTTATAATTGAATGATGTAAGAAAAATATATGAAATTAATTCAAATCAAAATCACTTTGAGGCTGCTTAATTGGATCACTTAAGGGCCATTCCACCGAATGGGTGGAATAAACTTTATTTTTGATCTTTTTCAACATTGATTCTAATACTACACATATTTAACTATTCAAAATGTGTATCGGTCAATCTCAGGCAACTTTTTATTTTTATTTTTTTTTTTACAAGGTTTAAACAGAATATGGACGCATGTTTTCTCAATCATGTTACCGAAAATCACGTGTCATTTAAAAAGCAAGTTTAGAAGGACTCCAATTAATTCCTTTGTTTTCCCCACAAGAAAGTGTTTATTTTAAAGAAATTGTTGGTTATATGTTCAAAAAAATTATATTTGTGCCAATAAAACCACTATTAAAGGTTCTCTAAGCGATGTGGGGCCAAAACATTTTTTGTCACATACATCAAACGTCTCCTCACTATCGGCTAGCTGCCTGTCCAATAAACACACTGTAAAAAAACGCGGTCTCTATAGACACCACAGGCTCCACAAACGCCAACAAAAACAATCATGTCTCACCCGTCCTGGACCACGAAACCTAACAAACAGTGTTCCAGCCAATCACTGGCAAGAAGTATTTGAGGGTGGGTCTGGGGGGTTAGTGCGCGTGCACATGAAGGGGGTGTGTGTGTGAAGGAGATAGAAGCATCAGAGGGAAGTTTGAAAAATGGCCGACACACGACCAAAGAGACGTCGTTCTGAAGAACAAATGAAAAAGAAGGAGTCGGATAAAGAACATGCGAAGTTCCGAATTTACATCGGTAGCAAAGCTTTTTAACGATGACGAGAACTCCGGCGGCAGAAGGTCTTCCAGTCCGACATTCAGGTTGCTCTGTTTTTGCTGGACAGGTGGGTAACGTTAAATTGTTTTTTTTCTTCTAAACTGACGCTTATGTTCGCCAAACCCACACAAGGATATAATTAGCTAGACATGGACGTTCACAATTATTTCAGGAAGCACGGAAGGGAGGGGGAGGAGATGAGATGCGGAGGAGGGAGGGTCTAGCTAGCCTCCGATTTGTTTGAAAATATTCCGAACGTCAACACCCAGGATCGCTTAGCGAACCTTTAAAGGCACTCTATGCAAGATCTGTACCTTAATATAACAGCTTCAAAGTCGTTTTGGTGGTTAACAAAGTCATAGTAGGGCGAATCATCCTGGTAGGAAAGCTTGGGGGGGACGCCGCCGGAAAAACCAGCCATGCAAGTTTGAGAGTGGCGCCCCTGACACAGCGCGTGAGAATCACGAAATGGTTTACGGCAACGACGTCACACGCATCAACAACATCATACTGTATGAAGCTACTTTCGAAAAAGGGAAAGAGAATCGGACCATGCTAGAAACCGGACAAGAGTCCACTCAGTCGGGCTTTCACTCGTTGGCGCGAGCTTAAAAGCTGCACTGGATTGTAACTGCGATGCTGACCTGGCGATCTTGTTGATGGACTTGTAAGTAAATCTCTTATTTATAAACTTGTTTGTATTTGTATACTTGTTTCTATATATTGTATGTTGCTGCACTGGCTTGTAGTATGTCATTTTTTACGGTGCTGTTCATTCATCCGTTGTTGATAATAAGACCAGTTCAATAATTCTCACATGTCTATAGCTTTCGATTACCAGAGCTTTAAGCAGACTTCCTAAAAACAGTCGTTTCTCTTAGTCTTGTTGTTTTTTTCGTTATGTTTTATTGCCGAGCTTGCCACATGAGCTAGTTTGCCAGCTGAACTCAGGTGTTGTGATGTGTATTTATCACGTATCTTTAGTCCTGTGTCTGGTTCGGATTTCTTATGACGTGTGTAAGTTACTGTTGTATCAAGTTTATCTGACTAACAGTACACTTCCCGACTGTAACTTTAAAATTGTGTTGATTATGAATCAATCAAATCTTGACGCTGTTGATGTTGATTCTTGCGATTACTATGAGGACATAGTCAATATCTCACATAATTATTAGGACATGTATAAGCCTAGAGGTTGTAAATAATTGAACACAATTTGCTATTATGATAAATTGTAATCATGTCTAAATCATAACGTCCAATGTTATGAAATAATGCGACGTACATTTAACTTGATTGATGTCATCTGACATTTTGTAATGTTTACATTACAATCAAAAAACATGAATGAAATTATACAGTAGCCTATACACTATAGGCTATTTACTTCTGATTTTGCAGAAATCATGTAAAAACGCTATAAGCCAGCAAACGCGATAGGCAACTTTATTATTAAAAAGCAGTCTAGCACTTGACAGTAGTTCAGGAGATATGCAGTAACAGGGGAATAACGGTTATTTACGACAGTGCAAGTACACCACAGCGGCTCTAGAGGTCACTGTTTTACAAAAAAACCAGAGAGTGCATAGTGTGCCTTTAAAGCAAAGGGTATTTTGATAAAAAAAAAAAAACGTCTCAGTTACGGATGTAACCCTCGTTCCCTGAGTAGGGAACGGAGACGTTACGTCAGAAGTGACGGAGAATGGGGGTTTCGCATGAAAGCCAATCCTCTTCGAGTATTTAACAACGAGCCAATGGCATGAAAATGCCTTGGGGCTACGGAATTTGCATAGCGTATCTCCACCCCATTCAGTGGGTATAAAAGGAGGAAGTGAACGCAACCGCAGTATGTCTTCGCTGAGGAGCCAAGACTGAACTCCGGCGTCTACCCAGCGATACAGCTGAAGTGGCAGGGAGACGAGGGTTACATCCTTAACCGAGACGTTCCCTTTCGTAGTCACTTCGAGTTACGTCAGAAGTGACGGAGAATGGGGGTCAGTGCCATCACGCCATCTTCAAGCTGTCTTCCAGTGCCCTGCGAAAGTCTGGACCCCTGCACCTTACCTTTTTTTTTTTTTTTTTCAGGGATCCCACTTTGACACAGGATTACCAAGGTACACTGGGAAACATATCCTGGGAGGGACATGCTACCAGATGCCTACCGAAGGAGGACTTACAAATACACATATGGCCGCATAGGAACGCATATGGAGATCACTGGAGCACCAACCGCAGGTGGCTACTAGAATTTAACTCCAGGGGTGGCAGATGGCTTGCCAAGGGAAGACACATGCTCAGAGAGGCTTACAGTGGATAATACACATGAGACAGTTACCATAGGGAACTGTGCACATGGAGGCACCTAGCCGGCATCCAGAGCAACAGCAGTGGTGCCCGCATCGTCGGTGCTTCAACGGAAGACACTGAGGAAATATCGCACTTATCCAATCCGAGGAGTGGAATGGCGAGCAAGCGAAGACACCTAAGCGGGTCCAGTACTGGCGGAAGCGAGTACGTGAGAGGACACCGGCTCAATTCGCAGATTATAGAATCTGGCGAAGGTGTTTGGTGTCGCCCAGCCTGCAGCTCTGCAGATGTCTGTTAGCGAGGCGCCATGCGCTAGAGCCCAAGAGGAGGCCACACTCCGAGTGGAATGGGCCGTCACACCAAGGGGGCACGGACAGCCTTGCTGCTGGTAAGACAAAGCAATGGCGTCCACTATCCAGTGAGACAGCCGTTGCTTTGAGAGAGCCCTTCCCTTCTAGCTCCCTCCATGACAGACAAAGAGCTGGTCTGAGGTCCTGAAACACCACGTTCTGTCAACGTAGGTGCGGAGAGCACGTACCGGACAGAGCAGTGCCAAGGCTGGGTCTGCCTCCTCCAGGGGCAGCGCTTGCAGGTTCACCACCTGGTCCCGGAAGGGAGTGGTGGGAACCTTGGGCACGTATCCAGGCCGGGGTCTCGCTCCCCTCAGGAACCTGATGACCAGGTCGTGCTTCCCTAAGGACTTACCTTCTACTGCTTCATGAGAGGCAGCAATGGCCGCGATGTAAACCTTAAGGGTGGAGGGCGACAGCCTGCGCTCCAACCCTTCTTGCAGGAAGGAAAGCACAACACCGATCGAACATCTCCGGGGGTCTTCTCCGCGAGAAGAGCACCAGCTGACGAAGAGGTTCCACTTCAACGCATAAAGGTGTCTCGTGGACGACGCTCTAGCGGAAGTGATGATTGCCGCCACCGCAGGTGGCAGCGAACTCAAACCTGCCTCGTCCCGTCCAGGAGCCACACGTGGAGTCTCCAGAGCTCGGGACGAGGGTGCCACAGAGTGCCCCGTCTCTGAGTGAGTAGATCTTGTCTCAGAGGAATAGGCCAAGGAGGTGCTATCGCGAGGAGCATGAGTTCGGAGAACCACGTCTTGGTGGGCCAATAGGGGGCTACCAACAAGACCTGCTCCTCGTCCTCCTTGATCTTGCACAACACCCGTGCAAGAAGGCTCACTGGGGGAAACGCATACTTGCGTGGGCCCCGCGGCCAGCTCTGCGCCAGTGCATCTGTGCCGAGCGTACCCTCGGTCAGGGAATAAAACTGGGCGCAGTGGGATGAGTCCCGGGAGGCGAACAGATCTATCTGTGCCTCCCCGAACTGGTCCCAAATCAGCTGGACCGTCTGGGGATGGAGTCGCCATTCGCCGGAGATAGGGCGGACCCGTGACAGCTCGTCGGCTGCCAGGTTTCGGTCTCCTGGAATGTATACTGCACGAAGGGACCTCAGGTGCTTCTGACTCCATAACAAGAGGTGGCGGGCGAGCTGCGACAGCCGGCGTGAGCGTAGACCACCCTGGTGGTTGATGTACGCTACTGCAGTGGTGTTGTCTGAGCGGACAAGTACATGTTGACCCCTGAGCAGCGCTCGAAAGCGGTGCAGGGCCAGGCGTACTGCCAGCAGCTCGAGGCAATTGATGTGCATGAGGCGCTGGGGTCCTGTCCAGGAACCCGCGGCTGCATGCCCATTGCACATGGCACCCCAACCCGTGGTAGATGCATCCATGGAGACAACGAGATGCCTGGAAACTCGCTGAAGAGGGACACCGGTCTGTAAAAAGCTGAGGTTCGACCACGGGAAGAAGGTTCGGCGGCATGCTGGAGTCACTGGAACTCGGAGCGAGCCGCGATGCCATGCCCGCCTCGGGACTCGATCGCGAAGCCACAGCCGAAGCGGTCTCATATGAAGCAAACCGAGCGGCGTTGCCGCGGCTGCGGATGCCATATGCCCCAGGAGCCTCTGAAACAGTTTCAGTGGAACCGCACTCTTGCCCTCGAACTGTCGAAGACAAGTCAGCAGTGAGTGCGCGCGATCTCCATGCCGAGAAAAGAGATCCTCTGCACAGGGCAAAGTTTGCTCTTTTCCCGGTTGACCCGAAGGCCCAGACGGGCTAGGTGCCGGAGCACCAGGTCTCTGTGTTTGCAAACCTGTTCTCGAGAGTGTGCCAGTATCAGCCAGTCGTCGAGATAGTTCAGGATGCGAACCCCGTGTTCGCGAAGGGGAACAAGGGCTGCCTCGACAATCTTCGTGAAGACGCGAGGGGACAGAGCTAACCCGAATGGGAGAACCGTGTACTGATATGCCTGGCCCTCGAAAGCAAACCGAAGAAACGGTCTGTGTCGAGGCAAAATGGAGACATGAAAGTACGCGTCCTTCAGGTCGATCGCAGCAAACCAATCCTGAGGCCGAACGCATTCGAAAATGCGTTTGGCTGTGAGCATTTTGAACGGTAGTCGATGAAGAGCACGGTTCAAAATGCGCAGATCCAGGATCGGTCGTAACCCACCGGTCTTCTTGGGGACAATGAAGTAGGGGCTGTAAAACCCGGACCTCATCTCGGCTGGAGGGACCGTCTCGATTGCACCCTTCGCCAGCAGGGTCGCAATCTCCGCTCTCGTGACCGGGGCATTGCCACCGACCATCGTGAAGCGAACTCCCCTGAAACGGGGAGGAGACCGTGCGAACTGAATCGCATAGCCGAATCTGATCGTTCTGATGACCCAGCGGGACAGCCCAGGAAGCTCTTGCCAAGCTTCCAGGAAGTGTACCAGCAGGGTCTTGCGAACCACAGACGTCCCCCCGGAGGGGCAGCGAGGCGGGTCGACTGGCATGCGCGCAGGAGTTACCCCGCCCGGATGCACAGTGGAAGCCCGCTCCCCGACAGAAGAGACCAGGGAAGGACCAGCGTTCCACGGGGGTCTGTTCTGCCGGAGGTCTGGCGATAGAGGGGGAAGGGAGTGGCGTAGTCGGGGGACGACACACGCTCCCTTCCGCACCCTCAGAGACAGAGAGGAATGAGTGGTCTGACGCACTGGGACGTCGAGCGCACTCATTCCAGTCTGTGTGCTCAGTGATGAATTCAAGTCTTTCTTTAACCAACTCAGGGTACTGCCCACCCGTGGGTGAGCAGCGGGGAGCTGAGAACAAAAGATTCTCCCCCGGTGGAGAGCCTGCTACCGCCTCCTGGGAAAAACTCACCTTCATCACTGAGCAGCCCGTCTCAGGAACGTCGCTTTGCCTGGCGTTTAGCGGGGCGTGCGGCCTGAGGGGGCTGTGACGCCTGCCTGCGGCCTCCTCCGCGCCGCGGCCCGGGTGAAGGCTGCTGCTGGGGCCGCGTGGGAGGGAGGGGAGCCGCAGGGGGCGTCCTCGGCAGCGAGCAGGGGGAGGCGTCTGCACCGACGGCTGGGTGGAGGCAGCAGCTGGCCGTCGGGGCAGAGTATGTTTGATCGCCTCCGTCTGCTTCTGGGCAGTCGAGAACTGCTGGGCAAAGTCCTCGACTGCACCGCCGAAAAGGCTAACCTGGGATAGCGAGACGTCGAGCAGACGAGTCCGCTCGGCATCCCGTGTATCTGCCAGGTTAAGCCAGAGATGGCGCTCCTGGACCACGCTAGTGGCCATCACCTGACCAACGGAGCGAGCAGCCACCTTCGTTGCCCGGAGAGCAAGGTCTGTGGCCGCTCGCAGTTCGTTAAATGCCGTTGGATCAGTCCCGCCCTCGTGCATATCTCTGAGCAGTTTGGCTTGGAAGACCTGCAAAGTGCTCATCGCATGCAGGGCGGTGGCCGCCTGTCCCGCCGCTCTATAGGAACGCGCCGCCATAGCAGACGAGAACCTACAGGCTTTGGATGGGTGCTTAGGAGGACCACGGGAGGAGGCGCTCTGTGGACACAGCTGCATCGCAACAGAGCGCTCCAACGGGGGCATCCCAGTGTACCCACGGGCGGCCCCACCATCGAGGGGAGGAAAGGCGGGGGAGGCTAGATCGCGCTCTCGGGAGGACAAAGGAGCCTTCCAAGAGCGCGTCAGCTCCGCATGCAGCTCGGGGAAAAAAGGTATTGGGGTCGGCTGTGGCCTTGCGGCGGCAGCCTTGCCCAAAAACCAATTATCCATCCGTGAGAGATCGGGGCAGGGCGGAGGGTTCCACTCTAACCCGATACTCACGGCGGCCCGAGATAGCATGGCCGTTAACTCGGGATCAGACACGGGCAACGCTGGCACTCCCGAGGGAGGCAACGCAGCCGCATCCTCATCTCCCGAGGAATCCAGCCCGCCTTGTGATGCCGCGATCGACATCGCATCATCATCTGGAGCGCCGAACGAAACAGACGGTACCTGCAAAGAGGTAGACGGCTGATTCGAACTGGTGCTCGCTGGCTCTACCACTGGAGCGGGGGGTGTGGCCCGAGGAACTAGCGTCGGGGCTTTGTTACACACCGTCACCGTCAAATCACCCTGGCCGTGAGTCGAAGAGCTTCTCGTGGAAGAAGCAGATCGAGTAGCGGGGACGGGGACTCTCACTTTTGTCAGATCATTGAGTCTAGATCTCAGTGTAGAGATGCTCATGTTCCCACAGAAGGAACATGAGTCATCCACGAACGCTGCTGCAGCATGCTGAATGCCCAGGCATACAGAGCAGCGATCGTGACCATCAGAAGATGACATGAATCGACCGCACCCAGAAGAACACGGGCGAACCATCTTTAAAAAGACATGCCACGTGCAGCTCTTTCAATGAGAGGAGGAAATTCACTCTTTCAGCGCTGAGGCTACCAGGGAGAAGGGCAAAGTCTGGCAGACCACTGCTCAGATCGCAGGCAATGCAGAGTCTCGCTGGGTACCGCCGTCACACCAACACTGAAGAGGACGCTCGTCTCGAAGAGTCTTTGGATCAGTGAGAATGGCTTTAGGAGTGAAGAGGTCTCTTGGCTCCGAAGCGAAAACATACTGCGGTTGCGTTCACTTCCTCCTTTTATACCCACTGAATGCCATTGGCTCGTTGTTAAATACTCGAAGAGGATTGGCTTTCATGCGAAACCCCCATTCTCCGTCACTTCTGACGTAACTCTAAGTGACTACGAAAGGGAACACAAAGGCATTTTTTCATTTTAAAGTCGACGAAGCCTCAAGCTTATACTTTTTAAAAAAAAATTAATTCATTAAATAATTGTATAAATCATGGGCCAAATAAAACTGATAAAAATAGTGGTTTAATTTAATTTTTTTTAGAAAAGAAAAAAACAGTAACAGGACTGAAAGTAACAGGATTGAGTTTTTAAGCAAAAAGTTATCAAATATACAGTATGGCATATGGCCACCTGATGGCCACATAGCATTGATGCTAATAGCGTGAGGACACGGAGCCATTTCTAGTACCTTACCAAAAGTTAATATTTTTAAAATAAAAAAAAAATAAATCTAAGAAAAAGTTTAGGTAACAGGACTGTATGTTGAGATTGACCTACTCATTCATAATTACAATTTCATCAATAATACAGAAATGAAAATGAGAGGAATTTTTTAGTCTCTGTGTCGTTTTTATTAATGTTTTTAATTATATGTTTTAAATTTGTAGTTAGCTTGACATTTTAAAATGTATTTTAGAGTTAAAGCTGCAATACCTAAGATTTAGATGCCGCTAGAGGGCGCTACATTCAAAACAACAACAACGGCTTTGCTTGATGACGACGTGGAGGAACGCGGAATGATGGGAACTGTTGTTTTCAACTCCACCGTGGATAAATCAGTCAGACGGGAATCGAAAATTAGTTGTCATGGATGAGGTAAAGTTCGATTTCTATAAACGTTGCGTTTAATGACATGCTTGTTTTTCATTAAACTGAAATAACCACAAGAAAAGTCAGGTTTAAAAGTAAATTAGTTACTGTACGAGTCACTGGACGAAGCTATGGTGGAGAGGGTTTGAAGGGGCAGGTCTCTTGCAAGGAGTTGACGTGGCTGGTCCTCCTTGGTAACTTTATAAAAATAAAAAATCAATTTAATGTAATGTCGTGTAAGTATTCAACCACAGCTACAGTTTCACAAAATTAACGTTAAGGGGGTCTTTAATCTTACTTAACCATGAAGTGAAGTGCCCTTGATGATGCATGAACTGTGTGTTAAGCAGAGAGACTGTACATCTCATTTCTGCTGGCCTTCAGTGACATTTACAGTACATTCACGACAGAAAGTTTCCTTCATGGCTCCTTTCATCCTCATGTGTGGGCGGACCAGGAGAAGCAGCATTACTGAGTGTGTCCATGACCGCTCAATGTTGGAAACTGCCCTTTCTCCAGGTGTGTCTTCCTGAGCTCAGTCCCCCAGATTTGTGCCATCTTCTGCGGTCTGCCATCGCAAGTCTCCAGCTGAGCAGCACCAGTCGAGGTTAACTGGACGAGCTGCACACACACTTCAGACGCAGCTTTCCCCACAGCGCCGTCACTAAACGCAGCGTCTCGTTCCCCACTCAGGGAACAATGGTTAGATTCGGAAACTCGTTTTCGCCAATTTCGCCAACAAGGATATATATAGAGAGAAATCTTTTGTAACATTATAAATGTCTTCACTGTCGCTTTTAATCAATTTAATGCCTCCTTGATGAATAAAAATAGTTTTTTCCTCTCACTGAAAATGTTAAAATGGTATTATTGTTTCCACAAATAATGTTCATCAGTGTCATGCATTAAAAATGGACACAAACAGTCATATATCATATTTTAATATATAAAAAAACATTTTACATTTTAATTATTCTTATTTACAATTTACAACAGTACACAAAGTAACAGTAAAACATTATCAATCATAAAAAAACGTATAAAATAGCACATTTGCGTTTGTAAAATGAGTGAGCTGGGAATGTTAGAAGGGCTTTACATTCAGGGACTAGAGATGTGTGCGCATACAGAGAATGAAACATGACAATCAGACTGCTAACAGTATTCAGATATCAGTGATGATGTAAAAAATGACAAGAGAAAGCCCTATAAAATATTTCGAACACGAGATTTGCTTAGTTAATTAAGGTCACTGTTTTCTAAAAGCAGGTTCTAGAATAAAAAGGCATATTTGATGCGATGCATGTACTTGTTGAGATGGTATTGGCGAGTTTATGCAGGGGTGTGTGTGTGTAATGCAAAAAAAAAAAAAAAAACAGTCATATGCTTCATCCACAATACTAGAATGCTTTTCCTTTTTGTCTTTTCTTTTTCATTAAAATCACAAACTCTGTTAATCCCTCTAGTCATAAAAACCCGGCAGCCATTTTGGAGAAAACCGTTTCCGAAGCTCACTAGCAGCTCAGATGGCATTGTGTCGTTCGGGTCCTGGTTGTCTTGTGAACTGAATCTTTGAAAGGCAGAAAAAACATGCAATCAACATACAGAGTAACTGCTTACAAGCGAAGAACGGGATAAATGAGCTAAACATCACATTTTTAATGTCGGCAGTGCTCGAAATCACAGACCAAAACAAAACCAGACATGAGTGCACATTAAATGGCTGTTGCATTGTTTTTCGGAGAAACAAACAAGTGTGTGGGAACTTAGCGGGAAAAGATTTGTTCATTTTGATAAACGAGTCACAAACGTGCATCACAGAACAGAGCAAGGCGAGCATTTGTGCTTATAAAACTTAAACTTTGTTATTTATTTTTTAAATGAGCGATCATTTCGCTTGATAAGACCCTTATTCATCATCTGGAATCGTTTAAAGCCCTTTGAACAGTTTGCAGTTTGCACTGAAAGTGTCTTTTGGACCTTGAACCGTTTGGTTCCCATTGAAGTCCATTATATAGAGAAAAATCCTGGAATGTTTTCATCAAAAACCTTCATTTCTTTTCGACTGAAGAAAGAAATACATGGACATCTTGGATGACATGGGGGTGAGTAAATTATCAGCAAAAGTTTTTTCAAAAGTGAACTACTCCTTTGACACTAAACTGCCAATGATGTGTCAGCCACTGGGAGACAACATACGCTTGTCATCCACAGGACTGTATTAAGAGAATGCCAGTAAAGATTTGTAAAAGTATTTGTCCAAAAAGAAACTTTTATAACGTAACCATCCTTTTCCGTCTCATTCTAGCGTTTAATGTTGAGGAGCACTGTGTGTGTGTGTGTGTGTGTGCGCTGACCTGCTCATTCATGATGGCGGAGAGCTCAGTCAGCATGTCTTTATAGTGAGCTTTCATCTCCTCCTGATACTCCAGCTGGTCTTCTTTTATGAGACGCTCGTTCACTTTCAGGGCCTGCCCACATGCGTCCGCAAACTGCCTGAGCGACGAGAAACAGCCAATCAAACCACACCTTTGTGCTCATTTATACCTATATCCTTATTTCCTAGTGTTATTGTAAGTCACTTAAAAAAACAACAAGCAAGCGCACAGAGAGATTTACACTCTTCATAAGAGAGCGCAGCATATAGGAAGCCCACTGTTTTTATAAATCCTCGACGGGGCGGAACAATGAGTAAAGAAGTACCTGAAGATTTCTTTCAGGAGCTTGACTTGGTTGTCTGGGTATTTCTTGGCATTCTTCTCCTCAAGGAAGGCTCGGGCGTAGGCCATGGGCCCCGCATTCACCTAAAACACACAAACACTTCATGAAATTCATTCTTATTTACAATCTTAGAATAGAATAGCTAATGCCAATGTGATTCAAGAGAGAGTTCACCCAAAAATTAAAATCCTGTCCACAATAACAGAATAATAACCTCATAATGACAGAAGTCAATGGATTTCATCAACTGTTGGTTTCCAATATTCTTCAAAATGTCAAAATGTTTTTGGTCCAACAAAAGAAAAAGAAACTTAGGACAACTTGAGGGTGATTCAATTATGACATTTTTGGTTGAACTAGACCTTTAAAGGGGAAATGAAGCAGTGGATCAAGTTTACATGATTTACAAGATGGATTTCCAATATAATCAACAATTATATAAGGAACATTACAAATGTAAACATTTAGAAGAAAAAAGGAAAAAAACTTTGTATCTTTCGCCGCCAGGGTGCCGCCATTGTGCAGTTGACGTCACGGGGTTGGTTGGCTCAAGTTTAACAGGCTCTAGGCATCGAAAATCGCGACATCAAACTGTGTTTACGCCAGTGTTTTGACCGCGAACGACTAATGTTAGGTACAGATATTAGACAAAAAGACGACGTCTCATGTTATATGTTGACAAACTGCACATAGAAACATTGTTCGCGATGTCTGCCGTCAGATATTCCCGTCTCGTCAACACCATGTAAGTTAGCACGTATTTGTTAAAGGGGACATGAAACGTCCATATTTTCGCACTGGTAGTGCTAGTAACGTTAGCTACAGCCTACATATACTAGGAAAAAGTGTCTCCGCTCTGACATCCTTCAGGGAAAGCATCGCCGCTTCCACACGTCTAACGCCGCCTTCACACTGGCAGTGGAAATCAGCTCCGTAATACGCAATACGTTCCCAACGGACGTCGTACTACACAGTGAAAAGCGTCGGACGCGGGTAGAACAAAAATGGCGGAGAGATTAAAGTTTGATTCTGTCAGTTCTGTATGATCTCTCTGATTAGGGTTATGCTGCGTGAGGAAAGTTGCTCAGGACGTTGACATGTCAGGTCGGCTAAAAAATGTGATATAGTGGTCAATAGTTCAATATCTACCTTCAATTTAATTGTATTAACTGCCCTTATAAACGTTAGAAAGTCATGAAAATAAAAAATGACATCACAATTTATCATTATAAAATCAATATTTATTTTATTAAAAGTTAATAATTCAGGTTTGTTTATCAGTACCATAGCAACGGTCAACTTCCGCAGGAATTGTCGGATAGGAACCGTCCGTATAGCTTTTCGCAAGAGTTCGAATTTTTGAACGCATCCGGATGACCAACGGACACGATTTTCTTCGCACCGCACTCGGTCGGACCCGTTTCGGACCCATTCGCATGCGGTCTGCGAATCTCCATAGGAAATGAATGACTTCCGGTCGTTTCGCAGCCGCATCGGAGCTGATTTCAACTGCCAGTGTGAAGGCGGCGTTGAGCCAACCAACCCCGTTACGTCAACTGCACAATGGCGGCGCCCTGGCGGTGAAAGATACAAAGTTTTTTTCTTTTTTTCTTCTAAATGTTTACATTTGTAATGTTTCTTATATAATTGTTGATTATATTGGAAATCCATCTTGTAAACTTGATTCACTGCTTCATTTCCCCTTTAACGTAGAAATCAATCAGAAACAGCAAAATGCGCATTAAACAATTTCAAATTGCACAATGTGGAGAGAACACCGCCTGACATGCGTTTATGATGATCATGCGAGTAATTGAGGATATATATATCGATCCGCCGTGTGTTCACCTTAACACTGACACTGCCCTGTAGTTTGAGCTGCAGGCGGATCATGTCCACCTCCTCCATGTTGCACAGCTGTTTGAGTTCAGACACCTTCCGGCTCATCTCTTCGATCGCCACCTCGATAGGGTTCATCTCAGTGCTCTGCTGCTCCACCACCTCGATGCGCTTCTTCAGGAAGGGCAAACTGGAGCTGGCTGCAGGACACACGGACAGAGGAGAGAGATAATTACTCGCATTCCCATATCAACCTCGACCCGTTGAAGGACACAACGACAGACGTGAAACTGCTCTTTTGATTCTGTCAAATTAATCATATCACATTGTATTGTTCTTAAACTGACCAAAGTATTTAAAGGGAGAGGGTTACATACAGCATTTATTGCAATTACACCAGAAGTAACTAATTAAAGTACAGAAAAATTAAGAGTAATCCCTTACTATACTGTTTTTTAAGGGAAAAGTGTTTTGTCGTCTAATTCTGTCAAAAAAAATAAAAAAATAAAAAAATAGAAATCATCTATCATACTGTATTGGAAAAATAAGTATCGGCAGTCTTTCTATATTTTATTAAATACAGATTGCACACACTGCAAAAATATATTTTCATACTCAGTATTTTTGTCTTGTTTTCCAGTATAAAAATATTTTTTTTAGTAAAATCAAGACACATTTATTGGAGAATCAAAATTACTTGATTTAGATTTTGTTTTTTACAGAAGTAATTATGTAGGGTAACGCTTAAAACAAGAAACAATATCTGCCATTGGGGAAAAATAAGTAGATTTTTCTGATTTTGGCAGATTTTCCTTTCATATTTCAAGCATAAACTTAAAGACTTATTTTCTAATGCCATTTTGCTTCTCCAGTAAAAGTTTCAAAATAAGAATATAAGAGTGTTTTGATATTTATATTGGAAAACAAGACGAAAATACTGAGCAAGAAAATCTGTTTTTTTTTGTTTTTTTTTGCAGGGCACAATACTTTTTTTTTTTTTTTTTTTTAATAATTTAGTTTTTTTTCATGGGAAAATTAGAGAAAAATGCTCCTTAAAATTCCACTGAAATAACTTCCCTATCTAATATCACACAAATCTCTGAGACAGTCCTAGTCTCTGTAAACAGAGTTGAGAGAATTATTAAAAACGGCCTACAGCAACAGTTTTGGTCAAGGAAAATAAAAGGTCTATATATGAAAGTGGTTTCCTTTGGGTTCAACTTTAAAAGGTTGATTTTAAGCGCCTCACTGGTCAGGATGGTTTTTCTTTTGCACTGTTCCTCCACGTCTCCATGTTTTTTTCCAGAAAGAGTGAAGGGCGTCTCAAAGACAAAGCGATTGATGTTGTGATGGTGCTCAAAGTCGGTCTTCTTCTCCAGCTGCTCCTTTTCAGTAAAATAAGGCACTACATAGGTCACTTGAATGTAGGCAAATCTGGGGTCCAGGTCTTTAGGATTCACCTGTGAGAAAAAAAAAATAATGCACATCCTAGTTACTATAAAAGAGATTTCCTACACTGTGAACCCGAATAAGTTGGCAAAACTCAAATAATTTGAGGTAATCGGTTACATCACATTTTTAAGGTAAGAAATTTAACGTTTAAGTAAGCAGAACTTGCAGATTTTTATTTTGTAATAATACATTTTTATTGCTCTTAACTTTTAAAATTTGAGTAATCTTATTCACACACAACTTAAAATGATCATGTAATCAACTTAAATATTTTTAGTAGAGGAAACTTGGCTTGCATTAACCAGCTAATTTAAAAATGCTACTTTGCTAATTGGTGACCCAATGCTTTGATAGCATTAGCATAGCACTTTATAAATGAATTCAGCAATGGGCTCTATACATGGCGGTATTTCTGGTGAAGGTGTAAGGATGCTCGATAACTTCCGCCGATCGTAGAGTCCAATGCAATACCGAGAATTTATATTGAATTTTATACTCCATGGTTATAATAAAGAAACGTTAGTCACAAAAACAGATAAAACAGACACCCCTCGTTGTGTTTATGCTTCTTTTTAAAATTATATTAAATAAACATAACTATATATAAAATTACATCTAAACATATGAAAACCATTTTCCTCGGTTTTCCTCCGCTTTAATCTCCTCAACCGGAAATGGACGAGCATCCTTACGTCAAATGCGGAACTTATGCGTGCATATATCCCATTGAAAATATTAAAACATTCACTGTTCTCAAACCAAGCTCATGCTCCACATGACGCTAACCCCCCAAATACCGGAAACTCTTCTAAACTAGCAAAACAAAACATTAAACACTACTAAATCTCCCACTTAACCAGGGTTCCTGCACACTTTTTAAAGTAAAATTTAAGGCTTTTTAAGACCTTTTTAAGACCTGAAGAAATCAAAATTAATACCATAGATTGGGGTGTGCGATATTGACAAAAATATATCTCGATATTTTCACGTTTTGTTGATAAACACAAAACAAAAACAAAATCAGTAAAATATCAACTAATTATTATCAACAATAATTAGTTGATATTTTACTGATTGTGTTTTTGTGCTGGTGCCATGGCTGGTTTAGGCCTGTTGTTGACAGCCGACTAGCGGAGATATTTATATTTTTCATATTCTATGCAGTGGTCAGTTCACAGCAGTGACAGAAATTATTAATTAATGTGCAATATTTGCCACCTTAAATTGATTTCCAGGGCATTTTCACCTATTTATGGAGATTTTTTTTCTAAACTTATTTAGAGTTATGCATCACGACGTGCATCACATATATACAGTAATTATACTTATTTATAGAATAATATTTCATTACACAATAATTATACAGTACCACTGTTAGCAGTCAAATTAAATCATTCAATCAAAAATCCATCTTTGCAGTGCAGAGTAGACGCAGAAGCAGCCTTAGAAGTGGCATTAATATATACACTCCATTCACAATTGCATAAATCAAGCTATAAGGTTTTTTAAAAAAAATCAATATTCAATATTTAAATGTGAAAAGATTTCTAATTTTTTACTTTTAATATGAAACTAAAACCGCCAGTAGGCGGCGGCAAATCGCTGTCTTAATAAGCGAGTTGAGGGAGTCATTCATTCAACCGATTTGTTCAAACGGGAAAGAAGCAAGTGATTGAATCGTTAAAATGACTCGTTCAAGACGCGGATTTCCTTCAAGAAATCATCGCTTTCTGTTGCATTGAGACTCTGCTATGGTTTCATTTTGAAATTCTAGTCGGCGAAATAAAGGGAAAACAAACAATATCGATAATGTTATGGCTAAAAACTAACTCACAATGTCACTTTATTTTTAATTTAACTATTGTATAACATAAATATCACACTTGTGCACGGGAAAACGGCACTCTTACTGATGTGATATTCTAATATAACAACATGATATAAATATAAGGCAAAAACTAATTTGGGGACATACCTATAACCATAATAAATACATGTCTATGCCTATAAGCACACATCACGCCGTAAAAACACGAGAGACAAATGCGATGTCAGCTCACACTCACAGTGCCTCGTCCATCGTTAAAACAATAGAATATCATAATAGACATTACACATCACACACCTCTACGCACATAAAGAATTAACGTCTCGGTTACGTATGTAACCCTCGTTCCCTGAGTAGGGAACGGAGACGTTACGTCAGAAGTGACGGAGATTGGGGGTTTCGCATAGAAAGCCAATCCTCTTCGAGTATTAAAACACGAGCCAATGGCATGCAATGCCTTGGGGCTGCGGAAATTTGCATAGCGTACTCCGCCCTACTCCGTGAGTATAAAAGGAGGAAGTGAACGCAACCGCAGTATGTCTTCGCTGAGGAGCCAAGACTGAACTCGGCCTCTACCCAGCGATACAGCAGAAGTGGCAGGGAGACGTAACGTCTCCGTTCCCTACTCAGGGAACGAGGGTTACATACGTAACCGAGACGTTCCCTATCGTAGTCACTTCGAGTTACGTCAGAAGTGACGGAGATTGGGGGTCTGTGCCATCACGCCATCTTCAAGCTGTCTTCCAGTGCCCTGCGAAAGACTGAACCCCCGAGCCTTACCTCTTTTTTTTTTTTTTTTTTTTTTTTGGGGATCCGACTTTGACACAGGATTACCAAGGTACACTGGGAACATATCCCGAAGGGGACATGCTACCAGCTGCCTACCGAAGGGAGGACTTAAGAATACACATATGGCCACATAGGAACGCATATGGAACACTGGAGTACCAACCGCAGGTGGCTACTGATTTAAACTCCAGGGGTGGCAGATGGCTTGCCAAGGGAAGACACATGCTCAGAGAGGCTTACAGTGGATAATACACATGAGACGGTTACCATGGGGAACCGTGCGCATGGAGGCACCTAGCTAGCATCCAGAGCAACGCAGTGGTGCCCGCATCGTCGGTGCTGGAGGACTCAAGACTTCAATGGAAGAACTGAGGAAATATCGCACTTATCCAGTCCGGGGAGTGGAGTGGCGAGCAAGCGAAGACACCTGAGCGGATCCAGAACTGGCCGAAACGAGTACGTGAGAGGATACCGGCTCAATTCGCAGATTATAGAATCTGGCGAAGGTGTTGGGTGTCGCCCAGCCTGCAGCTCTGCAGATGTCTGTTAGCGAGGCGCCGTGCGCTAAAGCCCAAGAGGAGGCTACACTCCGAGTGGAATGGGCCGTCACACCAAGGGGCACGGAAGGCCTTGCTGCTGGTAAGACAAAGCAATGGCATCCACTATCCAGTGGGACAGCCGTTGCTTTGAGAGAGCCCTTCCCTTCTGGCTCCCCCCATGACAGACAAAGAGCTGGTCTGAGGTCCTGAAACACTGCGTTCTGTCGACATAGGTGCGGAGAGCACGTACCGGACAGAGCAGTGCCAAGGCTGGGTCTGCCTCCTCCAGGGGCAGCGCTTGCAGGTTCACCACCAGGTCCCGGAGGGGAGTGGTAGGAACCTTGGGCATATATCCAGGCCGGGGTCTCAGGAATACGTGAGAGTAAGCCGGCCCGAACTCCAGGCACACTTCGTCAACAGAGAGTGCGTGCAGGTCCCTTACTCTCCTGATGGATACCAATGCAATCAGGAGTGCTGTCACATAGGACAGGGCAAAAACTCTACCGACTGCAAAGGCTCCAGGGGAGGCCTCTGCAGAGCACCCAGGTCTACTGAGAGGTCCCCAGAGGGCAGGAGGGGAGGGAGGCGGATTTAGCCCCCTCACTCCCCTCAGGAACCTGATGACCAGGTCATGCTTCCCATAGACTTACCTTTCACTGCATCATGAGACGCGGCAATGGCCGCGACATAATCCAAAGGGTGGAGGGCGACAGCCTGCGCTCCAACCCCTCTTGCAGGAAGGAAGCATGACTCCGATCGAACATCTCCGGGGGTCTTCTCAGCGAGAAGAACACCAATTGACGAAGAGGTTTCACTTCAACGCATAAAGGTGTCACGTGGACGACGCTCTTGCGGAAGTGATGGTTGCCGCCACCGCAGGTGGCAGCGAACTCAAACCTGCCTCGTCCCGTCCTGGAGCCACACGTGCAGCCTCCAAGATCGGGACGAGGGTGCCACAGAGTGCCCCGTCTCTGAGAGAGTAGGTCCGGTCTCAGAGGAATAGGCCAAGGAGGTGCTGTCGCGAGGAGCAAGAGTTCGGAGAACCACGTCTTGGTGGGCCAGTAGGGGGCTACCAGCAAGACCTGCTCCTCGTCCTCCTTGATCTTGCACAACACCCGTGCAAGGAGGCTCACTGGGGGAACGCACACTTGCGTGGGCCCCGTGGCCAGCTGTGCGCCAGCGCATCCGAGCCGAGAGAGCCGCGGGTCAGAGAATAACTGGGCGCAGTGGGACGAGTCCCGAGAGGCGAACAGGTCTAACTGTGCCTCCCCGAACTGGTCCCAAATCAGCTGGACCGACTGGGGATGGAGTCGCCATTCGCCGGAGATGGGACGGGCCCGGGACAGCTCGCGGCTGCCCGATTCCGGTCTCCAGGAATGTAACTGCACGAAGGGACCTCAGGTGCTTCTGACTCCATATCAAGAGGTGGCGGGCGAGCTGCGACAACCGGCGCGAGCGTAGACCCCCCCTGGTGGTTGATGTACGCTACTGCCGTAGTGTTGTCTGAGCGGACAAGCACATGCTGGCCCTAGAGCACGCTCGGAAGCGGTGCCGGGCGAGCCGTACTGCCAACAGCTCGAGGCAATTGATGTGCATGAGGCGCTGGGCTCCTGTCCAGGAACCGGCGGCTGCATGCCCATTGCACATGGCACCCCAACCCGTGGTAGACGCATCCGTGGAGACAACGAGATGCCTGGAAACTCGCTGAATAGGGACCCTGTCCGTAAAAAGCTGAGGTTCGACCACGGGAAGAAGGATCGGCGGCACGTCGGAGTCACTGGAACTCGGAGCGAGCCGCGATGCCATGCCCACCTCGGGACTCGATCGCGAAGCCACAGCTGAAGCGGTCTCATATGAAGCAAACCGAGCGGCGTTGCCGCGGCCGCGGATGCCATATGCCCCAGGAGCCTCTGAAAAGTTTCAGTGGAACCGCACTCTTGCCCTCGAACTGTCGAAGACAAGCCAGCAGTGAGTGCGCGCGCTCGTTCGTGAGCTGCGCGGACATGGCGACCGAGTCTATTCCATGCCGAGAAAAGAGATCCTCTGCACGGGGCAAAGTTTGCTCTTTTCCCGGTTGACCCGAAGGCCCAGACGGGCTAGGTGCCGTAGCACCAGGTCTCTGTGTTCGCAAACCTGAGCTCGAGAGTGTGCTAGTAACAGCCAGTCGTCGAGATAGTTCAGGATGCGAACCCCGTGTTCGCGAAGGGGAACAAGGGCTGCCTCGACGATCTTCGTGAAGACGCGAGGGGACAGAGCTAACCCGAATGGGAGAACGGCGTACTGGTATGCCTGGCCCTCGAAGGCAAACCGAAGAAACGGTCTGTGTCGAGGGAGAATGGAGACATGGAAGTACGCGTCCTTCAGGTCGATCGCTGCAAACCAATCCTGATACCGAACACATTCGAAAATGCGTTTGGCCGTGAGCATTTTGAACGGTAGTCGATGGAGAGAACGGTTCAAAATGCGCAGGTCCAGGATCGGTCGTAACCCACCGGTCTTTCTTGGGGACAATGAAGTAGGGGCTGTAAAGCCCGGACCTCACCTCGGCTGGAGGGACCGTCTCGATTGCACCCTTCGCCAGCAGGGTCGCAATCTCCGCTCTCAAGACTGGGGCATTGCCACCAACCATCGTGGAGCGAACTCCCCTGAAGCGGGGAAGAGACCGTGCGAACTGAATCGCGTAGCCGAATCCGATCGTTCTGATGACCCAGCGGGAACCCCGGGAAGCGCTAGCCAGGCTTCCAGGAAGTGAGCCAACGGGGTCATGCGAACCACAGACGTCCCCCCGGAGGGGCAGCGAGGCGGGTCGACCGGCATGCGTGCAGGAGTTACCCCGTCCGGATGCACCGTCGAAACCCGCTCCCCGACAGAAGAGACCAGGGAAGGCAGAGCGTTCCACGGGGGTCTGTTCTGCCGGGGGTCTGGCGACAGAGGGGGAAGGGATTGGCGTAGCCCGGGGACGACACACGCACCCTTCCGCGCCCTCCGAGACAGAGAGGAATGAACGGGGCGACGCACTGGACGTCGTGCGCGCTCATTCCAGTCTGTGTGCTCAATGACAGTGTCAGCTTTTCCTCAACCAGCTCAGGGAGCTAGCTAGAACAAAAGATTCTCCACCGGCCCTCCACCGGGGAAGGAGGGGCCCTGCCACCGCCTCCTGAGAAAAACCATGACACTATCACTGAGCGGCCCGCCTCAGGAACATCGCTTCGCCTGGCATCTAGCGGGGCACGCGGCCTGAGGGGGGGCTCTTTCTTGGGACGCTTACCTGTGGCCTCCTCCGCGACGCGAACCGGCTGAAGGCTGCTGCTGGGGCCGCGTGGGAGGGAAGGGAGCCGCAGGGGGGCGTCCTCGGCGGCGAGCTGGCGGAGGCGTCCGAGCCGACGGCTGGTTGGAGGCAGCAGCTGGCCGTCGGGGCAGAGAAACCGCCTTCGTCTGCTCCTAGGCGGTCGAGAAGTGCTGGGCAAAGTCCTGGACCGCACCGCCGAACATTATGATGCTCCTGGACCACAGCGGTGGGCATCACCTGACCAAGGGAGCGAGCGACCGCCTCCGTGACCCGTTTAAGGACAAGGTAGGCGACAGGCTCGCAGCTCGCTTGGTCCGTCACCTCCTCGTGCACATTCCTGAGCAGCTAGCTTTGTAGGTGCTCATCATATGCAGGGCGGAGGCTGCCTGTCCCGCCGCTCTACAGAATCGCGCCGCCATAGACGACGAGAACCCATAGGCTTTGGAGGGGCATCTGAGAGCAACCGCCGGTTGACCGGGGGAGCCCCAGCGTACCCACAGACAGCCGCATCGCCGAGGGGAGGAAGGGCGGGGAACTAAGCACGCTTTTTTTTTTTTTTTTTTATTTATTTATTTTTTAGTGCGTGTCAGTTCCGCATGCAACTCGGGGAAAAAAGGAAATTGGGGTTGGCCGTGGCCGTAAGGCGGCAGCGTTACCCAAAAACCAATTATTCAGCCGCGAGAGATCGGGGAGGGGCGGAGTTCCACCCCCACCCGATGCTCACGGACGCCCGAGATAGCACGGCCATCATCGCGGGATCAGACACGGCGGCGCTGACGCTCCCGAGGGAGGCAACGCGGCCGCATCCTCACTTCCCGAGGAGTCAAGCCCGCCTAGTGATGCTGTGATCGACATCGCATCATCATCTGGAGCGCTGCCCGAAGCAGCCGGTGCCACCGAAGAAGCAACCGACTGAATAGAACTAACGCTCGCTGGCTCTCGCACTGAGGCGGGAGGTGTGGCCCGAGGAATCGTCGGGGCTTATCCCACACCATCACCGTAAATCACCAGGTCCCCGGGTCGACGGGCCCCCTATGGAGGAAACCGATCGAGCGGGGGGGACCGGGACTCTCACTCAAGTGAGATCATTGAGTCTCGACCTCAGTGTAGAGATGGTCATGTTCCCACAGAAGGAAAATGAGTCATCCACGAACGCTGCTGCTGCATGCTGAAATGCCCAGGCATACAAAGCAGCGATCGTGACCATCAGATGACGACAGAAATCAATCACACCCAGAAGAGCACGGGCGAACCGTCTTTAAAAAGACGTGCGCGTGCAGCTCTTTCAATGAGAGGAGGAAATTCACTCTTTCAGCGCTGAAGCGACCAGGGAGAAGCGCAAAGTCTGGCAGACCACTGCTCAGATCGCAGGCGATGCAGAATCTCGCTGGGTACCGCCGTCACACCAACACTGAAGAGGACGCTCGTCTCGAAGAGTCTTGAACAGTGCTTTCAGGAGTGAAGAGGTTCTCTTGGCTCCGAAGCGAAAACATACTGCGGTTGCGTTCACTTCCTCCTTTTATACTCACGGAGTAGGGCGGAGTACGCTATGCAAATTTCCGCAGCCCCAAGGCATTGCATGCCATTGGCTCGTGTTTTAATACTCGAAGAGGATTGGCTTTCTATGCGAAACCCCCAATCTCCGTCACTTCTGACGTAACTCGAAGTGACTACGATAGGGAACTTACGACTGAACTGACATTTGCCAACTTTCTTCTCTCCTCCTCTCCTGTGACTGTCTCGCGTGCAGGAGACGGACGTTATTCTGCCGCGAATGTGACGCGAATTGTCACGTGAACAAGCAAATCCACAAAGATAAAAATTAATACGTACGCAAATTAGATGGTTTTAATTTGGAAAACATTAAGATATGACTGAGTCGAAGTGTCATCTAAAATTTAAGACCTTTCATACCTAAAAATAAGACTTTATAAGACTTTTAATGGCCTTAAATTTTAAATATCTAATTTAAGACATTTTAAGACTTTTTAAGGACCCGCGGGAACCCTGTTAACATTAATCTGCCACAAAACACTTAAAGCAACACCACAGAACTTTTCCTCTTCGTCGCCCTACTGGTTGGAAACAAAATTGTCCATTACCGCTGTCGTAAATAATTTAGCCTACCGTCGCATACACGCTCGTTGTTTATCCAGCACCGGCTTCGGAATGAACAATGTCCACAGACAAGGTAGAGTATGTTACATGATTCCATGAAAGGATGATGTATTGTGACATCAGAAACGCAGAAAAACGAAATAATGACTATTGATTAACAAATAATGAATAATGATTAACAAAAAGGTAAAAAATGTTACATAGTGTTGCTTTAATTTTAGCATTTACTCTCCCTTTTAAAGCAAAGCATGCTGGGAAATAGAAATCCCAGCCCAGTTTCAGATAAATTAAGTTTGTCTAAATTAAAAGAAAAAGTTCATAGAACTCAAAACGATTAAACAATTCAACTTACTTAAAATGTGTCAGTTTTGTGAACTCAAAAGAAAAATAAAGTTCTGAATACTCATAACAGTTAATTTGATTAGACTAATTTGTATAATGTAAGTTGGGCCTACTCAAACCAATTAATGATTTTACAAGGCTTCAGACAAGATATTATTGATGGAGAGGAAGAAGATCAGAGAAAGGCAGCAGGACACACCTTGTTGGAGTCTTGGATCATCTTGACATTCTCGGCTCCAAACTTGTCGGAATAGAGTTTGAGGAGTCTTTGAGAAATCTCCGACAGTCCTGTGAGCTTCGGCTCCTTGTAGATAAACTCCTTGCTCTCCTCCTCCTCAAAGAAGCCCTGTCGAACACAACATTACACATGACCTAGAGATCGCGGGGCAGGAAGAGATGTATAGCGGCTCTCACTGAAGCCCGATTAGAGATCGGTGTTAAAGTTAAAACGACAGCAGTGTTGGACAAAGCACAATAATGAAGGTTAACGGCACATTTAGATGTCTCTGTCTGAAACACAACTGCATTTACCTGAAAGCACTCACAGTGTACACAGAAATGATTAGAGGATTCATTTCCAGGAGAAGTGTGGAACATGTTTTATCAAACCACGTGTGCCATATGCCACACACATTATTAGCATGTAGGGAGATTATGAGTGTTAAACCGTAAAAGGGCTGAGTGCGGAACAACTTAAATGAACCAAAGATGAGAAAACTTACCACTGCCTGATATATACAACACACAGGAGAGAATAGAGAAGTGTTTAAATACATTGATTTCTGAGATAAGCGCTGGGGGAAATTATTTTGGGTCCTTGAATGGACAGTAAATATTTATTTGCCTTCAAATACTTGGATTAATAAACTTGAATAATTGAGGGTACTCATACTCATTATTTGAGTTCCATTTTCTATGATGTTTCATGCCATTTTGTATTTGCTTTAATTACCCCCCTATGACCATTTTAAAGTGCTCCTATTATGCTATTTTAAAGTCTCCTAATGTTGTTCTGAAGTCTCCTACAACATGCATCAAATGGAAGAAAAAAAAAACACTTTAATTTTCTATAATATACATTGCACATCACAACATTATTGGTCAGATGGCTCAGTCTGTTGTGATTGGTCTACTCTGTTCTGCTCTGATTGGTCAGATGGCTCAGTCTGTTGTGATTGGTCTGCTCTGCTCTGATTGGTCAGATGGCCCAGTCTGTTGTGATTGGTCTATTCTGCTCTGATTGGTCAGATGGTCCAGTCTGTTGTGATTGGTCTGCTCTGCTCTGATTGGCCAGATGGTTCACTCTGTTGTGATTGGTCTGCTCTGCTCTGATTGGCCAGATGGCCCAGTCCGTTGTGATTTGTCTACTCTGCTCTGATTGGTCAGATGGCCCAGTCCGTTGTGATTGGTCTACTCTGTTCTGCTCTGATTGGTCAGATGGCCCAGTCTGTTGTGATTGGTCTGCTCTGCTCTGCTCTGATTGGCCAGATGGCTCAGTCTGTTGTGATTGGTCTACTCTGCTCTGCTCTGATTGGCCAGATGGCCCAGTCCGTTGTGATTTGTCTACTCTGCTCTGATTGGTCAGATGGCCCAGTCCGTTGTGATTGGTCTACTCTGCTCTGCTCTGATTGGTCAGATGGCCCAGTCTGTTGTGATTGGTCTGCTCTGCTCTGATTGGTCAGATGGCCCAGTCTGTTGTGATTGGTCTGCTCTGCTCTGATTGGCCAGATGGCTCAGTCTGTTGTGATTGGTCTACTCTGCTCTGCTCTGATTGGCCAGATGGCCCAGTCCGTTGTGATTTGTCTACTCTGCTCTGATTGGTCAGATGGCCCAGTCCGTTGTGATTGGTCTGCTCTGCTCTGCTCTGATTGGTCAGATGGCTAAGTCTGTTGTGATTGGTCTGCTCTGCTCTGATTGGCCAGATGGCCCAGTCCGTTGTGATTGGTCTACTCTGCTCTGATTGGTCAGATGGCTCAGTCTGTGTTGTGATTGGTCTACTCTGCTCTGATTGGTCAGATGGCTCAGTCTGTTGTGATTGGTCTACTCTGTTCTGCTCTGATTGGTCAGATGGCCCAGTCCGTTGTGATTGGTCTATTCTGCGCTGATTGATCAGATGGTCCAGTCTGTTGTGATTGGTCTGCTCTGCTCTGATTGGCCAGATGGCCCAGTCCGTTGTAATTGGTCTGCTCTGCTCTGATTGGTCAGATGGCCCAGTCCGTTGTGATTGGTCTGCTCTGCTCTGATTGGTCAGATGGTTCAGTCTGTTGTGATTGGTCTGCTCTGCTCTGATTGGCCAGATGGCCCAGTCCGTTGTGATTGGTCTACTCTGCTCTGCTCTGATTGGTCAGATGGTCCAGTCTGTTGTGATTGGTCTGCTCTGCTCTGATTGATCAGATGGCTCAGTCTGTTGTGATTGGTCTGCTCTGCTCTGATTGGTCTGCTCTGCTCTGATTGGCCAGATGGCCCAGTCCGTTGTGATTGGTCTACTCTGTTCTGCTCTGATTGGTCAGATGGCTCAGTCTGTTGTGATTGGTCTACTCTGCTCTGCTCTGATTGGCCAGATGGCCCAGTCTGCTGTGATTGGTCTACCGCTTACAGCGCCTGTCTGAAGTTAAAACGCTCATTACCAGAACTGAACTTCAGCTCCAGAGGCTTCCTAAAGCTCAGTGATTGTACACATAGTACAAGTAACGATGACTCCGATTTAAATCTGAGTGCGAGTCCGATGATGAAACATGGGAAGAACTAGTAATTCAACGCAGTTAACAGATTAGAGCATTGATATTGATCAAAATTGACCTGATCAACATGAAAAATAACTAATTTCACCATAAAATCATGAAGTGATCTGTTTTGTGATTCACAATCACTATATAAAATTCTGCGCTGTGAAAAAAAAAAAAACCTTGAAAACACCATGTCCCAGATCTAAAAAAGTTTGCCTCCTCCAAAGCCACTTTTCTAAAGAATTTTCGCTTTTGGTGTGAAAAAAATCCCACATTAAAAATTATACAAACACTAATTTAAAGCTCTGCTTCAGGATCGGAATTGGGAACCAATGGGTAACAACTGATCATTTCCACTTTTTTTTCTCCAAAATATGATTTCAAGAGTTTTTGAGCGATTGAGTGTCTTACCTGTCCATAGAAAGCCACACGATAGTACCGACCAAACAGACGTTTCTCTGAGTTCACAACCTCTGTCACCTTCAGGTATGAGCGGTGAATGTCATAGTACAGCTCCGATAACCGCTATTGGAGACACACACAGTTGATAAGCATGCTCCCTCGTGTTTCTTTTATTTTAAAGTCAACCAATAAACAGTCCAAGTACCTTGAAATCTCGTCTCTTCTCAAAGACCGCTATAACAGGTTTGTTGATCTCTGCAATGAGCTCGTATCTCTCAGACTTCCAGAGGTAATCCACACACATCTCTAACTGCTCCACCAGTGTGTCCTACCGAAACAGAGACATTATTCAGTGTGTATGAGAGACATTTAAAACTACGATTCCTCTGAAATGTGCAAAGTGAGAGTGCACCTCTGTGTAAGGAGTGTCCTGATTGCCAGCGTCTTCTTTCATTGCTCCCTCTTCTTTAACATTCGGAGATATATTCATGAAGGCGGCCCAACCCATACTGAACGATGCTGCATTTTAATACACAAACACTGGTTATTAATTCATCCATCTTACATCTACCCATCCACCATCATTAGTCCTTGTATTCCATCGATTCTCAAATCAGTTCATATTCATCTTTCATCCAGTCTTCACTCATCATTCTATCAATCTTCACATCGCAGACAGCAACATAGTGTCGGCCCAGAACCGGCCCACATCTGGTACACGTGGAATTCACATCTGGGCCGACAACATATCGCTGTCTGGGATCCAATCATCCATCAATTCATTCATACATCCACTTTACTCCCTCTGTTAAATCATACATTAACAATTCAAATAACCAGTGCTACCATTAATCATAAACAAACTCTTTCTTTGCATTGTGATAATATCACAATATGTGGCACATTACAAGGATGTTTGTAATCATGATAACGTGATTTGGTGAGCTGGAAACAGTGAGTGCTCGTGGACACGTCATTCACATTCACGTGCACGGTTGTTCACATTATTATTTCTACAGGGGTGACGGGTGCCTTGCACAAGCAAACATTCTGGAAGACCTTTTTAGAAAAAAATTGAAAACACAAACATAAACTTTACAAATATACCCGATTATAAGAACTGAGCAACGAGCCCATTTCAAGAGTTACACTAATGGAAACACGTGTCTGAAAACTATTAAGAGCCGCTGTATTGTATAAGCATGAGACAAATGTGCACTCTGTTTACATACACTTGCTTCCTGTAGTTCCTTTAATAATAATAATAAAACAAGCTGACGTATGCTGCCTTCACTGGAAGCACTATTACCATTAGTCAATACTACTAACAGATGTTTTGTCAAGTTAAGAGCCCGACTGAATAGTTTACCTGCCTTGCTTTTTGCTTTTACTGTTAAAAATATATAAACATCCTCCGAACAGGATGAACATTCCCAGACAGAAACATAATGTCGGCCCAGATCTGGCCCACATCTGGTACGCGCTGAATCCACATGTACCGGATCTGGGACGACACCATGTTGCTGTCTGGGTTACATACAATAAAATGCAATATTTACACTGTCAATCTGGCAAATGTAGGCTTATGCCGCAAGGTTTATGTTAGATTTCTCTGAAAATAAGTCTTATCAGCACATTAAATATTTCTTAAAGTGATAGTTCACTTTGAAATTACCTCAAGGGCATCCAAAATGTAGGTGTCTTTTTTTCCACAGCATTTTCAATTTGATATTTTTCAGTCAAACCGTTGTTGTCTATCAGTCATACACTGGAGGCTAAGGGGGTCCACCAAAAAGCATGCACAGAGAAGTCAAAATGAAACATGATTTAATGACTCGTAAATGTAAGTACACATTGATGGCCTAAGACACGAAACGAGCGTTTTTTGTGAGAAGACGAACAGTATTTATATCGTTTTTACCTCTTGTAATCACAGCCATGACAAAATGATCTGACGGCACGGGCGCTTCGGAAGTGATCGCTTGCGCGCCTACGTCACTCTTTGTTTATACAGAGATTTCGGAAGTTTTACCTTTCACTAAACATATTTAGATATACGGGAAACCGCAATGGAAGACGATTTCGGTATATCTAAATATGTTTAGTAAAAGGTAAAACTTCCGAAATCTCTGTGTAAATATTGAGTGACGTCACACGCAAGCGATCACTTCCGGCGTAACATTGAACTGATTCAGTTCGGTTCAGTTGGACATTGAACAACTGATTCAGATCACTTGGACGTCACTGTGATTACACGAGGTAAAAACGATATAAATACTGTTCGTTTTCTCACAAAAAACGCTCGTTTCGTGTCTTAGGCCATCAATGTGTACTTACATTTACGAGTCATTAAATCATGTTTAATTTTGACTTCTCTGTGCATGCTTTTTGGTGGACCCCCTTAGCCTCCAGTGTATGACTGATATAAGCCATGTTTCCATCGACACGGTTTTATCCGAATTAAGTGATATCGAATGAAAAATGCCTTATGGAAACAGTAAAATTCGATGAAATTTCATGAAAATCGACTCAAATGAAATACGTTCGGTCTCATCGAATTTTCTCTTGATCGATATACGGCTAATGCGATAAAAGCTGATGGAAACGTTATTTGCCGAATAAATAATGAATTGCGATTAAGTTTTATGCCCTTTTATGGTTGCAACACGTCAGAAGACGAGTTCATTTCCGGCCAGTCTGTTTGCGCACACATGGCGGATGTCAACAAAGACAGATGTATAAGTGGACAAAGCAAAAAGATGCTTCAACCAAAGGGTTTCCGTAAACCACGATCTCCCAGAACTGATTGAGCGCTCGTTCCCACGCCACAGTCACCTCCGCTGTCGTCGGGCATACGTGCATCGTCATCATCATAGCAATGTTTATAGCGTCGCTGTTTTCTTAGGTTAGTTTTGCTTGTTTTTACGTGGCTTGGTTGAGTTGTAATGTAGAATGTGGTCTGTTATTTCTAGTTAACAGACTGCGGCGCTGCTAGTATAACACACCGTTGCCATGGACGCAGTTCAGAGACGGAACAGACTATTTTCTTTAGCAGAAGCAATACTCGTTTTTAAATCAATAAACTCGTTTTTAAGTCAATATTTTGTGTCAAATTATTGATTTATTTATTTATTTGGTTGATTTATATGTAATAAGCAGGATATTATAGCGAGGCGGTTGTTATAGCGAATACAACAACCGCCTCGCATACATTATCCCATTCATATGTCGCACATAAGCATTATTAGCCTTCAACTTCTGAAATATTGATCATTTTTTGGTAGATGGTGCGATCCGTTTTGTCAAAACGTTGTTCGCAAAAGTTTGCTTGAATCTTGTTCGATTTAGTGCGAAAATAAATGGAAACACCTTAAAATGTCTCAAATCAATTCGATATAGCAATTTGATCGCAAAACAGCATGTGACGTCATTACGTACAGGTTTTTATTCGCTTTAAAGCCGTTGGATGGAAACACACTTTCACCAGCTTTATCCGCATGAGTTTTTTAACCGAATTTCAGATAATTCGATTGACAAGTGGATGGAAACATGGCTATAGACAACAACGGTTTGACTGAAAAATATCAAAATTGAAAATACTGTGGAAACAAAGACACCTACATCTTGGATGCCATTGAGGTAAGCTGAAACATATCAAAAATTAATTTCAAAGTGAACTATCCCTTTAAGAACATCTGGAAACTTCATATTAGTCCTTAGCACAGTATTGTATACCACAGAAAACAAGATACAAATTATGAAAAATATTTGTTGTAGTGTGCACAAACTAACTGAGCAGCACGGGTATAAATATCTTAATTAAACCTGTCCAAAACCTAAGCTTTGCATCCTTGCTGCAGTAAGTATTTAGATATTTTACCAAAACATTTTAAGGAGTTAATATTTGCCTCATTTGCCTTTGGTTCGCTTACTGGGCATTGTTTTCTGTAAAGCTGCTATGAAACAATATGAACTGTGAAAAGTGCTACACAAACAAAACTGCTGCTTGAAGAAGAACAGACGTAGCTCTATACTAAGTAAATGTTTTAGTGTAGACAGTAAGACACATCGGGACCCCTGAAGGGGGGGTCAAGAATACTGCAGGTCAGGGCAGGCGGAGGTGAACTCACATTCTCCATCTTGGGGAGTTAGTAAGGGGCTACAGTTAATTACACAGGCTCCCTCTTTGCTCACACTCGGGATCCGACCCTTCTCAGACTTCCAGTAACCTGTGATTGCAGAGTGGCATCAGGTTTAACACAGGTTTACTTGCAAACTAGCGCTGGGCAGTGTGACAGCACACCGTATGCTAGGGTAGAAGAGTCCGTTCAAGACATTTAGCTATATTCTTAAGAATAATGATAAGGAGTAGTGAAATTTCCATTCACTAAATTATCTAAACAAAATAAAAATGAATTTCCAGCAAAAATAACTATATGCTGTTCCCATTATATTCAATTAGTCATATTTGAATAGGATTTTAGTCATACTGCCCAGCCCTATCTTAGACTCAGAACGAAGGCATGCATCTAGTGTAAACTAACTCACACTCATGCCCGCATGCACATGCAAGAGCCAGACAAACCAGCACAGAGAACGCATCTGATGACAAGGCCACAACAGCTCACAGTATGAGGAATAAAGCAAGTGGCAGGAAGCAGATAGGAGCATTTTTCATTCATTATGAAGTACAGCACTGAAAAAAAACAACAACAACTGAGCAGCAATGATCAAGAAGCATGTCAAAAGAAAGCTCAATAGGGAGGTTATTCATGCTGTTCACAAAAAAAAGACATAAGCATGCATCACGTAAGTACTGTGAGGTGCTCACCTCTCCTCCTCAGAGACTCTGCTATGAGTGCCGAGATGTGGATGTAGCACATGGCCGCCTGGAGAAGGAACACAGTGTTTAAAATGTCACATAAACGTCCGAATGCTAAAGTTCATGTAAACTTGGTTATCCTCTGATTTTGACCTCAGACAGGTCTCCGTTTCTGACGTGGATCTTGGCCATGCTCTCCAGCCAGGTGCGCCTGAGCTCAGGTGTGCTGGCGTAGGAGTTGGCCAGACTGTACTGCAGGTCCACCAACATCTCCGGGTCCTTCTCATGCTCTTTCATTTGGGAGGTTGCCATTAGGACCGTGCGTATCCTCTTGGTCAGGTCCTTCACCTCAGCCGGGAATGTTGTGTTCTGGAAGAAGGCAACATAACTTTTGTTTAATATTACAATAGGTTGTGTATTTGGGCCGTTTTTGTTTTATACCATTGCTCTAAATCCTGTTTGAATACATTTACTCATCCTTCCCTCAGGTCATTTTGACCCGAAACTCATTTTTTGAAATTGTTTAAAAATTGAGTGTTCATCAAAAGGGCAAGACCCTAGGACTTTTGTCACACTTGAACCATGAATACACACAGCAAATTTTTTAATGGATTTTCTTTTTGGAGTTTTGTGGTTGAAATTTAAAAAAGTAACAAATCCTTCCTTTGCGGGTCAATTCGACCCCCCGAGGAATGAGAGGAATGCTTCAGTACGCATAGAAACATGTAAAAATGCTCAAAATTCAAACTAAAAATTCTAAAACTTTACCAAGATATTATTTTATAAATGTCTACATGTGTATCTGAATGCATCCTGAAGAAAACCTGACTTTAGGACCCAGAGGAACAGCTCATTTTGCTCCATATAGACAGAGCTATAAGGCCATGACTGGAGTCATGAAATATCATGGCTGGAGTCATGAAATATCATGTTATATAATTTTATTTCCACAAGAGGTCAGTAAAGACACGCAATGTAAGATATTTTTAGCTGAATTAAAAGTTATGCATGAAATTGTGTTATTTTGAAGGAATGTGTAAGGAATCTGTGGGGAATGTGCTTAATGACTATTTATTTGTTATTTATTGATCAAATCTAGTCATTTTAGGATAAATAAAATAAAAAAATAAAAAAATTCATAAAAAAAAATGTAAAACATAATGATAAAATTGAAATAAAATAAGCGTTCTAGACAAAAAAAAAAAAGTATAATTTTAGGGCTTTTCGGGTCATTTTGACCCACGAGGGAAAGATGAGGGTTAAATATGGCTCCTCAAGGTCATTTTCTTCAGTGAGTGACATCAAACTTCATTGGGGGGCTGGTCTTGAGGTGCCATATTTGAACACAAATGCAGAAGACTAAAAGGGAACATTAATATACAGGAATTGGGGAAGCTACTCTGAAACTGTAGTTTGAACAGCTACTCGTGACTTCAAGTAGTTAAGCTACAGTCAAGCCACCCTTCTGAAAAAGGAGTTAGCAACACTACAAGTTACTATCAAAAAGTAGCTGGCTACCATTAAAACTACTTTAATATAGTTTACGAGGACATTGTATATTACAAATAAATGGATAATTGTTAATAAAGAATGTTTTAAGTAAAATAGTTGGGGTTAAAACCACAATATAATAAAATACAACTGTAATTTCAAAGGTTAGCCTGTTGTTTTATTGTGTAAAATATCCAAAGACAGCCGACACACAATACTCTGAAACGCTTTATTTTGATGGTCCCTTCTGAATAGTCTGCTGACTATAAGTAACTTTGCAACTACATGTCAACTAACTCTGTTAGCGGACTAATACAGTTTTACTGTATAACAGACTAAGGCAGATTTATCTGTGTAATTAATGAGAAACACAGATTCATCATCGTAATTAAAACAGAAATAGACATTTAATATATTTTCGGCTGAATTCATTTGTAGCTCATAACAAAACTAAACTTGAGTCTTCTTCCTCATGCTGATTGGTACATGCATGCAATGGTATTGTCACATTTTTCATATTGTAGTACCACCAAGTCTCAGACAAGTGCATCAATGCAACCACTTAAGAGTCTGTATAAACAAGCATTGAAAGTCATGGATAAAAAAACCTAATTACTGTAATATAGTTGAAAAACATAACCTGTTGACTTTTGAAAATTTCCTGTTTATGTCTAATGTTGGGTTAGTATACAAGATCATTCATGGCTTAGCACTACAATCTCTCAAACAATATGTAACAACAAGCAGACCAGGCTCAAGGTTAAGAGCTGTTGTGTTTAGTTAAAGCAAAACTGCTTTTCAGTAAAGGCAGCTGGCATGTGGGATTCTTTACCAGTGACAATGCAGTACGTTAAACATTTTTAAAGGTAGTGTGAAAATATGATTAAAGGACAATCAGGTTTGAGCTATGAGACATTGAATGTGGTCAGTATGTTTTTTACTGTGTGTATGGTAAAATTCTTGCAATAACGGTTTGTTTATTTGTGTATATGTTGGTTATTATGGTTTCATTGTAATATTTTGCACTCATAGTTTGATTCTGTGGTTTGAACAGTTCTGTTTGGCGGCGCAGACATGACACTGCAGCTTTAAAGTGTTGTTTTTGCGAAACTCTCACTTTAAGTGGCGTGTCTCCATTGGCGAAGTTGTTGATGATGGCCAGAGACTGCTGGAAGCGTGAACCCCCGATTCCTACATCCGCGATCAGCTGACTCACAGCTTTAATCACCTGGAGGAGAAGAAAACACACACATCGGTCTCTCAAACTCCCGTAATCCCCAAACCAGCCAGAGAGCCACCTCTATTGCATATCTACACTAATGCACTGCCCACTTATATCTACAGTAATGCACTGAACACATATCTACACTAATGCACACACATGCAAAAATAACGATAGTCCACTTTACACATTCTAAGTTCATGTCAACTTGCTCTCATTAGAGTATTAGTAGACTCTCTGCTTAATATCTGCTATCACTTTATTTCGATGTTTCTCAACAGACATTATACTGACTAAGGCCGGATTCACATATAGCGCCTAAAAATGCGTAGAAAACGCTGGGCGCGCCGCATTCTCCTTTTTCCAAAACGGATGCGCTCTGGTTGGTTCTTGTCACGAGACCTATTGTGCGCTTGAGATGTTTTTATCTCGACGCAGCGCGGACGCGCTTGGAAAAAACGAGCGCGTCGCACCGCGACCGCGTCGCTTCCATTATGAGCGCGCATACCACGCGCCTACATTTGAAATAACGAACTTGAGCGCGCAAAAGACGCGACATGTGAACCGGCCCTAAGAGTAACTTTGCAACTACAAGTCAACTTATTCTCCTAACCCGAACCCAAAACATACTGACAGTCTACTAATACTCCAGTGAGAGTTACGTAGTTGACATGTAGTTGCAAACTTACTTCTGGTAACACTTTACTTGAAGGGGTGTGCAAAAGACTGACATGACGTGTATGGCAAGTGTCATTAAGTGTCATTCGCTCAATTATGTCATTTTTAATGCAAATATGACATTGTTTGAGATGTCTTTGTTACACTGTAAAATCTAACATTGTTCTTACTAAGAATTTTTTGTTAACTTTACTTAAAGTGCAATAATTTGTTGAACTTACTTCAAATTTCTTAGTAATCTGTACTGTTTGCATGTGTGCTTTCGTTACTCAGAAAAATCTTGTAAACATTACTTGACTGGTTTGAGTACCATTTTCAATTTGTATTCGCTCATTTTCCAGTCATCTTGAGTGTTATTGTCAATACACCTAAATATTTTTGGGAGAACATCAAAATTCTTTAGTTGACTTGTTGATTTCCCTTTCTCACCATTTTTGTGATTGATGTTCCCTTTGGTTGGGCACTTGGAACTTAATTTATATTATTGTTCTCTTCCAATTTTTTGCAGTGATGCAACTTGAAATCATAATTATTTGATTTCAAAGGAAGTGAAGTAATTTATATATATATAACACACATACTTAAATTAATTAATAAATTATATATAACATAAATATATTTAATGTATAATAATGATCTTTTAACAGTTTATTGCTAACGCTTATGGCATAAATCTTTAATTGGGTTGATATAATCCCTCTATATTTGTGACAATATTTTGGTTGAGTCACACACAGACTTCAACATTCAGCATGCAAACCACAACAGTGGTAACATTTAAAAAAAAATCATTTAATTAATTAGACATTACAATTTTATTTGCTGTCTCTTTTCAGTATAACCCCAATAACGATAGCAAATAAAATTGTAATAAAGCCAAAAATAGTAAAATAAAGCAATTAATTTATTCATGCCGCAATGCACTCTGGGAGTACACTTCCTCGGTTCACAGATACTGGAAAGTAAAAGATCAAGTATAGTATAGAAATTATTTTAAGTTGCTGGAACTCTCTTGTAAGTGTACAGTCACATAGTCACATAATTTCACTTTACTCAGTTTTTTGAGTGCAATCGGTTTGCATGCTTTTTTCAAGTAAGGTGTACTAATTGGATTTTACAGTGTATGACACCTTGACATAAACCAATACATCATAACCTGTCAGTGTCTTTGTCATGACAACTTGACATTACTAAGAAAACGCAACCTGTCATAAACATGACATAACAGATTAATTATCAAACTTAAGAAACCACTTAGCATAACATTACATTAACATTGACATTGGCTCTCATGAGGCCATTATAACATTTTAATAACAAATACAATTTGTACCACTGTAGTTGAGGACACAGTTATGTTAACCCATGAAGGAAAAAGTGGTTTCTTACGTTTGATAATTAATCTGCCATGTCATGTTTATGACATATTTATGACAGGTTGTGTTGTCTTAGTAATGTCAAGTTGTCATAACAAAGACATCTAAGTCAGTGTCATATTTGCATTACAAATTTAATAATTGAGCGAATGACACTTAACGACAGTTATCACAAACATGCAGGAAACCTCCTTCATATTCATAACATATGTCATGTCAGTCTTATGCACACCCCTTAAAAGTGGACAATGAAGATAAAGTGGACTGGAGATTACCTGCAGGTGTGAGCGCACGATGCACTTGCCCTTGGTGAATTCGAAGTTCTTCCTCATGAGGAAGTAGAGCAGCGCGGCGGCTTCGGTCTGTGTGGAGCTGGAGCGGTGACTGCAACACTTCAGGATCTCGTAACACAGGCTGCCACACAGATCCGCTTTCCCCTGGAAGAACGTGGACGGGAACTGAAGAGCGAGAGCACGTGAACAAGAGGCCGAGATCAGCACAGGGATCCGCTAGTTCAGGTGTGTTTGAGTAATGTTTCTAAAGCACGTTTAGATAGGAAGATACGTGTCCAGTAGCAGGATTGAGCACCACGGGTTCAAACTAAAATGTTTGTGATGATCAGTACACAGTGGTCATGAAGCTGTAATTAGCATTATTTTTATTTAACGCATACGAGACCCGAGCTGGCAAAAGGAGTGGAAATGCACACAGGATAATTTCGAGCTACAAGCAAAACAAATGAAAAATTGCCATTTTGAGGTTTTCACAAAAATAAGTTTGTCTAATGGTCCCAATGCTCCGAATAACAATTAAACATCTGAAAGTATCTTTATTTGTGTGTTTTCTGTTTGTCCATGAAAAACAATCTGACTCATAGATGAAGCGTGTTCACAAAGACAACGGGCAAACCCGATATACACATAATTGGTGAGTATTCATGAAAACATTATTTGTTATGTCAATGTGAATGTTTGGTTGACTGTTGGGGAAAAACATCTGATGTGTAACATTATATTAGATCCGTGCTTTACAGTAGGTCTTGTGTGGGTTTCATTAATGTTAATCAAACAATTGTGCTATCATGGAAAACAAGTTTATATAGGTATTTAGGATTTTTTTTTTTTAACCTTTATTTATCCAGATAAAATGTTTGAGAACCACTTCTCATTTACAAACATGACCTGGAAATATTTGGGTTTGACTTGGTGTATGCCAAATTTGATGGTATTACCAGGAATTTTAAGTTATGGTTGTTAGGTGATCTTGTTTTGAAATCTTCAGAAAACTTTAAAGGGTTAGTTCACCCAAAAATGAAAATTAAGTCATTAATTACTCACCCCCATGCTGTACCAACCCCGTAAGACCTTCGTTCGTCTTCGGAACACAAATGAAGATATTTTTGATTAAATTTGAGAGCTGTATAACTACCACATTGGCTCTTAAAGGACTGCCTCTTGACGGCCCAGAAAGTTAATGAAGAAAATGTTTAAATATCCCAAGTGACTACCGTGGCTCAACTATATGTTTATCAAGCGACGCGAATACTTTTTGTGCGAAAAAACAAACAAAAATAGCGAGTTTATTCGACTATTTCTTTTCTTCCTTGTAGGCCAGAACGAGACTTCCTTAGATTTCCACGACGCATGCGCGAGAATTGCGATCTGAAGTGGTGTAAGCTGATGTGAGCAGATCGCAATTCTCGCGCATGCGTCGTGGAAATCTAAGGAAGTCTCGTTCTGGCCTACAAGGAAGAAAAGAAATAGTCGAATAAACTCGTTATTTTTGTTTGTTTTTTCGCACAAAAAGTATTCGCGTCGCTTGATAAACATATAGTTGAGCCACGGTAGTCACTTGGGATATTTAAACATTTTCTTCATTAACTTTCTGGGCCGTCAAGAGGCAGTCCTTTAAGAGCCAATGTGGTAGTTATACAGCTCTCAAATTTAATCAAAAATATCTTCATTTGTGTTCCGAAGACGAACGAAGGTCTTACGGGGTTGGTACAGCATGGGGGTGAGTAATTAATGACTTAATTTTCATTTTTGGGTGAACTAACCCTTTAACTTGATTTCTCTCAAAATTTACTTTGATTCCAACAAATCATGCATCATGTAGAAGTTTTTTTTTTTAATAGAGAATGGCAATTTTTGAAAATGTTCTCATTGCGACTCATTTTGCCAGCATCGGTCACATATAATTTGTTCTTATGACAACACTACACATTTCAGATGTCTCTCTTTCTCTCTCTCCAGAACCAGGATTGGCTCTCATATGCCAGATGCCAGTCTCTGTCGCTCTGTAAAATCATTTTGTTTATACCATTTCTGATGTGGCGGCTGAATGCAAGGAACATTTTGTATATGCATCTCCGCAAAAAAGCTTCTAGGGAAAAACACTTTAAGCATCCTAGATAAACTTCCAAAGGCAAAGATGTTAGAAGTTGCATGATTCATGACTCATAAACATTAGTACGTTTTGGTCCACTAAAAAGGAGTTTACACGCACCGGATGGCCAGAGGTGAACTCAATAATTATAAAATCAGGCAGAAAATGGGCAAATTCGGTTTATGCTTTTGTGTTCTTTTAATTCAGTTATAATTCAAGAGGTCACCGAGCGCTGTATTCATTTTCTACTGGCCACAAGTCTTCATGTGATATGAATTTGCAGATTGGAGTTCTCTAAAACTTAAACTTTGGATTGAGGCGAAATTCACATGAGCTTGTATAAATGTAAATATAATAATGATTTTTGCTGTGATAAATTACATTTAAATTTAGAAATCACATTCTGTCGTTGCTCCCTTCAATTGTGTCCTAAACGGCTATTATATGGGCTACAGTTGCTTAACTTCAAGTGCTCTTCCCTTCAGAGTGAGCAGGGCTTTACGAGTGTAATGCACACAATAATTCCTTGTATCTGCTAAATAATACCAGATTTGAAGATCTATGTAGAAAAAGGGGTTGAACCTTCTGAATGAAGAGGCGCAGGGCGGTGAACACGTGTCTGAGGGTGCTGGTGGACTGGTTGATCTGGAAGAACAGCAGGTACGTGTCAAACACTTTTTTCATCAAGGAGTTTTGCCCTTCATCGTGCTGCAGCTGTTTCTGTAGAAGAAGAGGAGCAGGCGCACGTCATGTTGAGACATTTACTAGCATCTTTCATTTAAATCAAAATTAACATTGATGTTGGCACATGCAGCTTGACACAATCTTGAGTCATTATTTCATAAAAACGGTAAGCATTGAAGTCATTTTGTTTGGAAATATTATTGTTAGGACAGTATTTGAAGTGCTTTTGTCCACCCAATCAGAGTCAGCACAGGAAAGCAGTTTGTGGTCGAGTGTAATATAAGAAAAAGATACAATGGAGAAAACATCTTTAGACAGTCAGCATTTTTTTTTTTGTTCCGCTCACACAGAAAAAAACTGGTAACACTTTATAATAACTACACGCTAATAATCATTAGTTAAGCATGAGTAAACCATTAATTCATCATTCATAAAGCATTAATAGACATTAATAAATACAGCTATAAATGCTTTCTTCTTGATTTAAAAGCATATCTATAATTTGTTTAATAATTGTATTTTCATACTATATTAATGATCAATTTATCATTTCTAAATGAAGAATTGCATTTTTTATAAACCAGTTATTTAAGAGTTGTCCGTGGTTCATACGATTACTTAGAGCGAGTAAGTAAATGATTAATAAACTATTTAAATGTACATTCATACATCTTATTATTCAGACATATAGTGATGGTTACTTAATGTGTTAATAAATGCTTTATTAACGTGTATTAATGCTGTAATTAAGGATTAATTTGGGTAGTTATAAAGCATTTAGTAGTGGTCAGTTAACTATTTTTGTGACCTAATATAAATATTTCTATGTTCTGTATCACTGTGTTGTGTTTGTTACATTTTACTGTTTAGAAGATTGACGAGTCTTTAAATCGCCTTTATAAATGCTTTACAAAGCATGAATAGTCCTCACTTTAGATTAGCTCACAAAAATAGTTAACCGACCACTAATAAATGCTTTATAACTACCTGTATTTACTACATTTACTTACACTTTCCAAGTGGTCTTATAAATGACTGACAACTCTTAAACAGCTGGTTTGCAAATAATGTTATACTTCATTTAGAAATTATTAATTGATCATTAACAAAGTATGAAAATACAATCATTAAACGCATGCTTATAAATCAAGAAAAAAGCATGTATAGCTATATTTATAAACTGCATATTAATGTCTATTAATGTTTTATAAATGATGTATTAACTGTTTACTCATGCTTAACTAATGATTAATAGCGTGCAGTTATTATAAAGTGTTAACAAAAAACTATTTGATATTCATTATTTAAAAAAAAAAAATCTTGAACAATATGTTGGAAACATTTAGTACCTTCAATTTTAAGTATTTCTTATTTAAATGTTGCCTGGCACTTGGTCTTAAAATCAAATTGTAGAAAATGTACATTTTATTTAAAATGTAATACAATTTCTTCTTCTACTTCTTTATTATCTTAGACATCTTCACTTGTCATTGATCCATTTGAAAATAATTGAATGTTTTTTCATATAATTTCTTTCTGTGTTCCTCTTTGTGCACTCATATTGAAATTAGTATTCTTTATTTTTTTTAGATTTTTTAGTTTTTTAGTATTTTTGTTTTCTGAAAGAAAAATCAAAGCCAAGCGAGGTTTTGGCTTGTTTTCTATCTGAATACCATTATTTTTCTTACCCCATTATCACATAATCTTGCTTGTTTTAAGCAAAAACTCACTTAATTGTTGAATATTGTTGAAAATAAAGTTTTCATTTTCTTTAGTAAACAAGATATAGACCATTTCACAAGATGTAAACAACACTGGTCCAGAAGCACTTCCTGTTTCAGTTTTTTACCACTACATAAAAGCTGGGATAAAATACAACCTACAGAACATTTTAAACTGAATCAAAAAGTTAAACAAACATCTTTAAGGTGTTTTCTTTACATGTAAAATAAAGAAAACAGTTACAAACTGAAACAGGAAGTGCTTCTGGACCAGTGTTGTTTACATCTTGTGAAATGGTCTATATCTTGTTTACTAAAGAAAATGAAAACTTTATTTTCAACAATATTCAACAATTAAGTGAGTTTTTGCTTAAAACAAGCAAGATTATGTGATAATGGGGTAAGAAAAATAATGGTATTCAGATAGAAAACAAGCCAAAACCTCGCTTGGCTTTGATTTTTCTTTCAGAAAACAAAAATACTAAAAAACTAAAAAATCTAAAAAAAATAAAGAATACTAATTTCAATATGAGTGCACAAAGAGGAACACAGAAAGAAATTATATGAAAAAACATTCAATTATTTTCAAATGGATCAATGACAAGTGAAGATGTCTAAGATAATAAAGAAGTAGAAGAAGAAATTGTATTACATTTTAAATAAAATGTACATTTTCTACAATTTGATTTTAAGACCAAGTGCCAGGCAACATTTAAATAAGAAATACTTAAAATTGAAGGTACTAAATGTTTCCAACATATTGTTCAAGATTTTTTTTTTTTAAATAATGAATATCAAATAGTTTTTTGTTAACACTTTATAATAACTGCACGCTATTAATCATTAGTTAAGCATGAGTAAACAGTTAATACATCATTTATAAAACATTAATAGACATTAATATGCAGTTTATAAATATAGCTATACATGCTTTTTTCTTGATTTATAAGCATGCGTTTAATGATTGTATTTTCATACTTTGTTAATGATCAATTAATAATTTCTAAATGAAGTATAACATTATTTGCAAACCAGCTGTTTAAGAGTTGTCAGTCATTTATAAGACCACTTGGAAAGTGTAAGTAAATGTAGTAAATACAGGTAGTTATAAAGCATTTATTAGTGGTCGGTTAACTATTTTTGTGAGCTAATCTAAAGTGAGGACTATTCATGCTTTGTAAAGCATTTATAAAGGCGATTTAAAGACTCGTCAATCTTCTAAACAGTAAAATGTAACAAACACAACACAGTGATACAGAACATAGAAATATTTATATTAGGTCACAAAAATAGTTAACTGACCACTACTAAATGCTTTATAACTACCCAAATTAATCCTTAATTACAGCATTAATACACGTTAATAAAGCATTTATTAACACATTAAGTAACCATCACTATATGTCTGAATAATAAGATGTATGAATGTACATTTAAATAGTTTATTAATCATTTACTTACTCGCTCTAAGTAATCGTATGAACCACGGACAACTCTTAAATAACTGGTTTATAAAAAATGCAATTCTTCATTTAGAAATGATAAATTGATCATTAATATAGTATGAAAATACAATTATTAAACAAATTATAGATATGCTTTTAAATCAAGAAGAAAGCATTTATAGCTGTATTTATTAATGTCTATTAATGCTTTATGAATGATGAATTAATGGTTTACTCATGCTTAACTAATGATTATTAGCGTGTAGTTATTATAAAGTGTTACCAGTTTTTTTCTGTGTGAGCGGAACAAAAAAAAAAATGCTGACTGTCTAAAGATGTTTTCTCCATTGTATCTTTTTCTTATATTACACTCGACCACAAACTGCTTTCCTGTGCTGACTCTGATTGGGTGGACAAAAGCACTTCAAATACTGTCCTAACAATAATATTTCCAAACAAAATGACTTCAATGCTTACCGTTTTTATGAAATAATGACTCAAGATTGTGTCAAGCTGCATGTGCCAACATCAATGTTAATTTTGATTTAAATGAAAGATGCTAGTAAATGTCTCAACATGACGTGCGCCTGCTCCTCTTCTTCTACAGAAACAGCTGCAGCACGATGAAGGGCAAAACTCCTTGATGAAAAAAGTGTTTGACACGTACCTGCTGTTCTTCCAGATCAACCAGTCCACCAGCACCCTCAGACACGTGTTCACCGCCCTGCGCCTCTTCATTCAGAAGGTTCAACCCCTTTTTCTACATAGATCTTCAAATCTGGTATTATTTAGCAGATACAAGGAATTATTGTGTGCATTACACTCGTAAAGCCCTGCTCACTCTGAAGGGAAGAGCACTTGAAGTTAAGCAACTGTAGCCCATATAATAGCCGTTTAGGACACAATTGAAGGGAGCAACGACAGAATGTGATTTCTAAATTTAAATGTAATTTATCACAGCAAAAATCATTATTATATTTACATTTATACAAGCTCATGTGAATTTCGCCTCAATCCAAAGTTTAAGTTTTAGAGAACTCCAATCTGCAAATTCATATCACATGAAGACTTGTGGCCAGTAGAAAATGAATACAGCGCTCGGTGACCTCTTGAATTATAACTGAATTAAAAGAACACAAAAGCATAAACCGAATTTGCCCATTTTCTGCCTGATTTTATAATTATTGAGTTCACCTCTGGCCATCCGGTGCGTGTAAACTCCTTTTTAGTGGACCAAAACGTACTAATGTTTATGAGTCATGAATCATGCAACTTCTAACATCTTTGCCTTTGGAAGTTTATCTAGGATGCTTAAAGTGTTTTTCCCTAGAAGCTTTTTTGCGGAGATGCATATACAAAATGTTCCTTGCATTCAGCCGCCACATCGGAAATGGCACAAACAAAATGATTTTACAGAGCCACAGAGACTGGCATCTGGCATATGAGAGCCAATCCTGGTTCTGGAGAGAGAGAAAGAGAGACATCTGAAATGTGTAGTGTTGTCATAAGAACAAATTATATGTGACCGATGCTGGCAAAATGAGTCGCAATGAGAACATTTTCAAAAATTGCCATTCTCTATTAAAAAAAAAAACTTCTACATGATGCATGATTTGTTGGAATCAAAGTAAATTTTGAGAGAAATCAAGTTAAAGGGTTAGTTCACCCAAAAATGAAAATTAAGTCATTAATTACTCACCCCCATGCTGTACCAACCCCGTAAGACCTTCGTTCGTCTTCGGAACACAAATGAAGATATTTTTGATTAAATTTGAGAGCTGTATAACTACCACATTGGCTCCTAAAGGACTGCCTCTTGACGGCCCAGAAAGTCAATGAAGAAAATGTTTAAATATCCCAAGTGACTACCGTGGCTCAACTATATGTTTATCAAGCGACGCGAATACTTTTTGTGCGAAAAAACAAACAAAAATAGCGAGTTTATTCGACTATTTCTTTTCTTCCTTGTAGGCCAGAACGAGACTTCCTTAGATTTCCACGACGCATGCGCGAGAATTGCGATCTGCTCACATCAGCTTACACCACTTCAGATCGCAATTCTCGCGCATGCGTCGTGGAAATCTAAGGAAGTCTCGTTCTGGCCTACAAGGAAGAAAAGAAATAGTCGAATAAACTCGCTATTTTTGTTTGTTTTTTCGCACAAAAAGTATTCGCGTCGCTTGATAAACATATAGTTGAGCCACGGTAGTCACTTGGGATATTTAAACATTTTCTTCATTGACTTTCTGGGCCGTCAAGAGGCAGTCCTTTAGGAGCCAATGTGGTAGTTATACAGCTCTCAAATTTAATCAAAAATATCTTCATTTGTGTTCCGAAGACGAACGAAGGTCTTACGGGGTTGGTACAGCATGGGGGTGAGTAATTAATGACTTAATTTTCATTTTTGGGTGAACTAACCCTTTAACTTGATTTCTCTCAAAATTTACTTTGATTCCAACAAATCATGCATCATGTAGAAGTTTTTTTTTTTAATAGAGAATGGCAATTTTTGAAAATGTTCTCATTGCGACTCATTTTGCCAGCATCGGTCACATATAATTTGTTCTTATGACAACACTACACATTTCAGATGTCTCTCTTTCTCTCTCTCCAGAACCAGGATTGGCTCTCATATGCCAGATGCCAGTCTCTGTGGCTCTGTAAAATCATTTTGTTTGTGCCATTTCCGATGTGGCGGCTGAATGCAAGGAACATTTTGTATATGCATCTCCGCAAAAAAGCTTCTAGGGAAAAACACTTTAAGCATCCTAGATAAACTTCCAAAGGCAAAGATGTTAGAAGTTGCATGATTCATGACTCATAAACATTAGTACGTTTTGGTCCACTAAAAAGGAGTTTACACGCACCGGATGGCCAGAGGTGAACTCAATAATTATAAAATCAGGCAGAAAATGGGCAAATTCGGTTTATGCTTTTGTGTTCTTTTAATTCAGTTATAATTCAAGAGGTCACCGAGCGCTGTATTCATTTTCTACTGGCCACAAGTCTTCATGTGATATGAATTTGCAGATTGGAGTTCTCTAAAACTTAAACTTTGGATTGAGGCGAAATTCACATGAGCTTGTATAAATGTAAATATAATAATGATTTTTGCTGTGATAAATTACATTTAAATTTAGAAATCACATTCTGTCGTTGCTCCCTTCAATTGTGTCCTAAACGGCTATTATATGGGCTACAGTTGCTTAACTTCAAGTGCTCTTCCCTTCAGAGTGAGCAGGGCTTTACGAGTGTAATGCACACAATAATTCCTTGTATCTGCTAAATAATACCAGATTTGAAGATCTATGTAGAAAAAGGGGTTGAACCTTCTGAATGAAGAGGCGCAGGGCGGTGAACACGTGTCTGAGGGTGCTGGTGGACTGGTTGATCTGGAAGAACAGCAGGTACGTGTCAAACACTTTTTTCATCAAGGAGTTTTGCCCTTCATCGTGCTGCAGCTGTTTCTGTAGAAGAAGAGGAGCAGGCGCACGTCATGTTGAGACATTTACTAGCATCTTTCATTTAAATCAAAATTAACATTGATGTTGGCACATGCAGCTTGACACAATCTTGAGTCATTATTTCATAAAAACGGTAAGCATTGAAGTCATTTTGTTTGGAAATATTATTGTTAGGACAGTATTTGAAGTGCTTTTGTCCACCCAATCAGAGTCAGCACAGGAAAGCAGTTTGTGGTCGAGTGTAATATAAGAAAAAGATACAATGGAGAAAACATCTTTAGACAGTCAGCATTTTTTTTTTTGTTCCGCTCACACAGAAAAAAACTGGTAACACTTTATAATAACTACACGCTAATAATCATTAGTTAAGCATGAGTAAACCATTAATTCATCATTCATAAAGCATTAATAGACATTAATAAATACAGCTATAAATGCTTTCTTCTTGATTTAAAAGCATATCTATAATTTGTTTAATAATTGTATTTTCATACTATATTAATGATCAATTTATCATTTCTAAATGAAGAATTGCATTTTTTATAAACCAGTTATTTAAGAGTTGTCCGTGGTTCATACGATTACTTAGAGCGAGTAAGTAAATGATTAATAAACTATTTAAATGTACATTCATACATCTTATTATTCAGACATATAGTGATGGTTACTTAATGTGTTAATAAATGCTTTATTAACGTGTATTAATGCTGTAATTAAGGATTAATTTGGGTAGTTATAAAGCATTTAGTAGTGGTCAGTTAACTATTTTTGTGACCTAATATAAATATTTCTATGTTCTGTATCACTGTGTTGTGTTTGTTACATTTTACTGTTTAGAAGATTGACGAGTCTTTAAATCGCCTTTATAAATGCTTTACAAAGCATGAATAGTCCTCACTTTAGATTAGCTCACAAAAATAGTTAACCGACCACTAATAAATGCTTTATAACTACCTGTATTTACTACATTTACTTACACTTTCCAAGTGGTCTTATAAATGACTGACAACTCTTAAACAGCTGGTTTGCAAATAATGTTATACTTCATTTAGAAATTATTAATTGATCATTAACAAAGTATGAAAATACAATCATTAAACGCATGCTTATAAATCAAGAAAAAAGCATGTATAGCTATATTTATAAACTGCATATTAATGTCTATTAATGTTTTATAAATGATGTATTAACTGTTTACTCATGCTTAACTAATGATTAATAGCGTGCAGTTATTATAAAGTGTTAACAAAAAACTATTTGATATTCATTATTTAAAAAAAAAAAATCTTGAACAATATGTTGGAAACATTTAGTACCTTCAATTTTAAGTATTTCTTATTTAAATGTTGCCTGGCACTTGGTCTTAAAATCAAATTGTAGAAAATGTACATTTTATTTAAAATGTAATACAATTTCTTCTTCTACTTCTTTATTATCTTAGACATCTTCACTTGTCATTGATCCATTTGAAAATAATTGAATGTTTTTTCATATAATTTCTTTCTGTGTTCCTCTTTGTGCACTCATATTGAAATTAGTATTCTTTATTTTTTTTAGATTTTTTAGTTTTTTAGTATTTTTGTTTTCTGAAAGAAAAATCAAAGCCAAGCGAGGTTTTGGCTTGTTTTCTATCTGAATACCATTATTTTTCTTACCCCATTATCACATAATCTTGCTTGTTTTAAGCAAAAACTCACTTAATTGTTGAATATTGTTGAAAATAAAGTTTTCATTTTCTTTAGTAAACAAGATATAGACCATTTCACAAGATGTAAACAACACTGGTCCAGAAGCACTTCCTGTTTCAGTTTGTAACTGTTTTCTTTATTTTACATGTAAAGAAAACACCTTAAAGATGTTTGTTTAACTTTTTGATTCAGTTTAAAATGTTCTGTAGGTTGTATTTTATCCCAGCTTTTATGTAGTGGTAAAAAACTGAAACAGGAAGTGCTTCTGGACCAGTGTTGTTTACATCTTGTGAAATGGTCTATAATATCATGTCCTTTTACTAATCCAATAAATCCTTTTTGATTTAAGAATTTTTAGACAATTGGACTGGCAACAAGACAAAAATACTAAGTAAGACATTTTAAGAGTGTATTTTGGGATATATATCCATGTCATTAAAGGTTATGCCTGTACCTTGTGATGGCAAACGAACAGGTCCAGGACGTCAAGCACAGTCAGGGCTACTTCAGTAGAAAGGTTAGCCTCAATGTCTGTAGGGTTGACGTTTTCTCCGTCAGGAGCATTTCCATCTAAACACACATTACAGTTGCTTTAATTTCACATGAAATCTGAAAACGTCACTTTAAAAACATCTCCAGATCATATGCATTGCCATACACTCTGAGCCACAGTATTATGTTCAATAAATATTCATAGCTCAATAAATGATCAATTCCATGATTCAAAGTAGACCATATTTATCTGAAACACACAGCCGAAGTCTCCAGTGGCAGTTGTACTGAGTGTGTGTACCTGTCTCCATCATATGCAGCAGTTTGGGGTTTGCGAGGGCGTTCTTCCCCCTGATGATGGGCATGGTCTGGGAGCGTGCGTGTCTGTGCCCATCCGGAGCGGACACAATCCTGCAGGGAACAACAGCATTCGGCGGTAAACACGGGAGGGACAGCAATAACACAATCTAGAATTGTCATGATAATAGCAGAAAAAATAAATAAATTCCCCATTTGCTCCCTCTATTTCTACACTTTCTTCTGTGTTTCTTTCAGTTTTTACAGACACAGAAAATTGTGCTTTAGTAAACTGTGCTGTGCAGTTGTAAAACATTTTAGCTATAAAAATTAAACACTAAATAGCCATTCCACTCTCTTTGCAACAACACAGTGATATCCCGTATATCAGGAGGTGAATGAGAGGACACAGACACACATGATTCCCACACTGAACACATCTGTGAAAAGACATGATGAACTGTGATATTTCTACAGGACAGAACCGCTTTATATGAAGTGTCTTTAAGTACTATGTACTAACATTTAAAGGAATCATTATTCACTTATTTTCTCTATATAAAGCTGTATATATACAGTGGGGCCAAAAAGTATTTAGTCAGTCGGTGATTATGCAAGTTCTCCTACTTATAATGATGAGAGAAGTCTGTAATTTTCATCATAGGTA